AAAAATTATAGTAAATATATTAATTCAGGAAAACTTGGCTTATTAGGCAAATCGGGCCTTGAATAGTAGGCTGAGAAGTGAGTTCTGGCTACTAGGTACGACATATATATATATATTATATATATTATATATATATATATATATATATATATATATATATATATATATATATATATATATATATATATATATACACACACACATATATATACATGCAAACAAGCCTGAATGGTCCCCAGGCATATATGCAACTGAAAACTCACACCCCAGAAGTGACTCGAACCCATACTGCCAGGAGCACTCTGCAACTGGTGTACAGGACCCCTTAACCACTCGACCGGACAAAAGATGATGGTAGCCGAGGCTGCCATCTTAAGAAGATTTCTTAAGGATCTTGGTTCCAGGCTCATTGATACTACAAGAGACCCTAGAGCAGCAAGTTTTCTCTTGCAGCGCCTCAGTGTCACGATTCAGAGGGGAAATGCCCGCTGCGTCCTCGGTTCCTGCCCGGCGTCGGAGAAGTTCGAGGAAATCTATAGCCTCTAGAAAACAAACTGCTCGTGTCCTCTTAATGTTCACTTTTTGTAAACAATCATATATGTAACTGTATAACCTTGTATAATCGTGTACAACATAAAAAAGGGCGGTGGTAGAAGTGAACACTCATACGTTTACAGAGTTAAATGGCAAGTTTTTCTCTGAATGCTCTGTGTTCCTTTCTTTGAGGCTGTGGGTCCCTACAATTGCACCAGAGGTGGTACCCCCTATATATAATCACAATCATTAATGCACGAGTAAATAAAGTATACTATGAAGGCACTGGTAATACAAATAATTTAGCCAGGAATAATAATTATAGTATAAACTCTACTCCTTCACCATATCAGTTACGGTCAGAGTACAAGTTAAAATACTCAACACTGCAAGAAAGCTCTATGCGCACTGATCTGAAAAACACAGTATTACTGTAGTAAGAATTACCTGTCAGAAAACAGAAATACGTAGCCTAGCTAAAAGTGTATTTTGTATCAAAACTTTCTTTTAGCGCAGGTGGGTACAGGAGCAGAAAACTAATTAATATGTTGAAGGTATAGACCTCATTATTAATTTATTAATTGTTATTAAATTTTAATCTTATGACAAATAATGCACTTTAATCAGTTAAATGTGAGAAGAGAAGCGAAGAGGCTATCAAAATGAGAACAAATAAAGCAGAGATCCAACCCATACTGCTTCGCAGTCACACAAGGGGGAATAACAATGAAGGAACAGGTGAAACTGAGGAAAGGGAAGGACATGTTCACAGACAAACACAAGATTCTAGGTCGTCTCCATTATAGAGCAACAAGTGTCGGAACTTAAAGGTTCCATTAAGTCAAGTAGCATTGGAGGAATTTGAGATTACCAGAGATGAGGTAACGAGGCATCTGCTGTACCAGACACTCTCGCTATGACTACTAAAACCGGGAACAGAACAGCACTGTGGTGCGCCACTACGTTGTATAATAGGTTACTGGAAACGGATTTCTGCCAGAAAGTTGGAAGAAAACTATTGTAGCCCAATATACAGGAAGGGTGACAGGAGACACCGAACTACAGGCCAGTGTTTTTAATTTGCACACTATGTAAAGTGATGAAGAAGATTGAGGAAAAACATAGTAGCATATTTGGGGAGTACAGACTGTAACACACCACTAGCACTGGTTCAGGTGTGGTAATTACTGGTTCATAAGTTTAATAGAATTCTATGACCAGATGACACAAATTTGACAAAATAGGAAAGGTGGGCAGACTTCATAACTTTTATATTGTCAAAGCCTTTGACACGGTACCTATAAGAGAAGCAGCCAAGAGTGGCAGGCAAGAGGACAACAGAGTACGTAAACAACAGAATACAGAGTGACGAGATGTCATCAGCAGTCCCGTAGCAGTACTTGGCCTTATCCTTATATGTACAGTACATGATCTTCCAAAGGAAATAAATGCGTTCCTCTCAATGTTTATTGAGGAATGCAAAAATTATGAGGGACGATTAAAACAGGAAGATAGCAAAAAACTACAAGATGACCTGGACATAAAAAACAAGCATTGAATGTAATTAAATGCCTCATTCTGGTGGGTCCTCCGTGCTTGCTACCTAGCAAGCTTCACCAATTCAATCCACGCTAAGCCCTTGCGACTCATTGTAAGTCTACCGGATACCAGAGGCCAAACCTGATCCCCCTTTAAAGAGGTACATTGGACAGAGAATCCTGGGTCACCATAACAAAGAAGTTACTAGAAAAGTGTCTAACAAAACATAGAAAACAAGCCAGTGAAGCCATGAAATCAACGTATCACCTCATCATAAAGTATTTCTCTTGTTAGCTCCACCAAACAAATATCACAATTAGGGTAATGCGTACTCTTCCCCTATATCTCCTTGTAATCCGCCTCTTCCCCTATATCTCCTTGTAATCCGCCTCAGCCATTTAGCCAGGAAGACGGAAAAATTGAAGCAGAAAGTCCTTGTTGACATGAACCTAAAACCCTAAGTCTACTGTAGGTACGTTGACATGAACCTAAAACCCGACGTCTACTGTAGATACGCTAATTGGCATATTCTAGGTGCTGAGCACTTGCGCATTTGCTACGGCTCATTCAAGCTAAAATCCGTGCAGAGTTTCACTTATAAGATGGAAGGTGAAGGCAAGCTGCCTATCCTATATAACGGTTTCAGAAAGGAAACCAACAGGCGTGCACCTTGAAGTTAGTAGCGAGTGCCTTGACAAGTACAAGTAAAGTGCTATCGATGCCTGTTAACCATGCTCTCACACACAGCACCAGTTGGAAGCAGGTTGAAGTCTTACTCTACCAAGTTCTTCATGTCCTAGTCAGTACAGTAACAGATACTTGAACGATAATATCAAAGATAATTAAAAGGAAGGTAAACTATCACCCTACCTCTGATGAACAGGCTATTGCTACAGTATCCGTCCCGTCTATTAAACTATTATACAGGAACTTCTTTTCCACAGAATAAAACTGAAGGGTCCTAAGACATTGGTAGGAATGTGATTCGTACCAACTAGAAGATAATAGTTGCACTCTACTACAAGAGCAAGAAGACTGCCAAGTAAGTACTGTAGTTACCAAAAGAAGGCACCAAGCCGGGAAGGTAGCACCATCAAATGTGCGAAATAATCATAGGGCGCTAAATATCACTAAGGATGCCAATATAAGAACAAAAGCGCATAAGGCGAACAATATCAAAAGTATCCGATTCACCAAGAATTCTATCAAGGGACAAGTGACCTCGAGGGACGGTCGGGAAGCAAGACACACGCTCGTCCTGAAAGTCAGGACATTCAACAAGGATATGCACGAGTGTAAGAGGGATAACTTGCTCGTGAAAACTCAACACCAAGCGAAACGTCTTGAGATGAATGTTGTCTATGCCTTCTCATGCCCACTTGGAGACTTTCAGCCCAAATTATCTCAACACTGTATATAGGCAAGACAACATCTCTTTCAAGGCACCTGACAATGCACAAACAAGACTCCATCAAAGAACATAAAATTTCAACAAAGAACCAGTTCCTTTTCAGATATATTTTGACCAACAACAAAGATAATAAACACAACAACAGAAGATTAGACATCGGAGAAGCACTACATTATCGAGCCATCTCAACCAACTACTAACACCCAGCCCACACTCGGGCACATTCTACTCTCTTAAGACCAAGGCAGAATATCCAGCACACTGCCCGTCATAAGAACAAATTCTTGTGTTATCTGAAACTAAAGAAAACCTATTGGCCCATGCAAAACTTACTTAACCTCATCCTTCTTGGTTATTTTATTCAGTTGTTTCAAGTTAATTTGTATACACTTCACCTCTGCCTTTGAAAATGTTGACAAGTTCAATGAAATACACCTTAGCATCAGGCCATATATAACTAGTGAACTTTGGCGAGCTAATTTTTAAAGTTCCTTCTCAAGTGAGGAACATATGAAATATAAAGAAGATTCATGCTTAAATCTTTTGAGTGTACATGTGTTTTGTCGGAGGGAGTATAGAAATAATATTGATTGGAGGTGTAGGCACACAATGAATGGTGATAAGAGGAAGGGTAGCAAGTTGGGAGTAAGGAATGTGAATACTTTATTTGGGGATTTAGGCTTGGTGCCAGGTACTGGAACTAGCTAGTTGGGGAATTCAGTGCCTTGTGAATGTGTATTGTGTGTGTTGCCTCCGTTGTTAGCATTACCCAGGGAGCACCACGAGGAGGTAACGGTAGGGCTTGCTCCCCGGGAAATGTAGTGGTATATTTATTGGTTGAAAGCCTAACTGTTAGTAAGTAATTATCAAAAGAAGGCACCAAGCCAGGAAGACTATGTAGCCCCATAACTGTTGATAAAGCTCGCTGGGTTTCCCCTACTCTTCAAAAATTATATTGCATATTGGAACAAAATACTCTATAATAGTTGTCATTGGGTTACACTGTCCAATAACAAAAGGAACCTTATTTTTACGATTATTACATGCAATCATAATTGCAAGTAAAAGGCTTTAGATATTGTATGGAACAAAATTAGAAAAATAAAAAGTTATTATTGGGATTACATTAGCACCCACACTTCTTGCCCAAACTGAAGAATAGCATTTTATGTTTGAAGTTAATACAATAAGGTGTTCAAAATATCAGAGGGGAACAATTTAAAAATTAATAAGTACCCTTACTAAAGATAGTTATATACATCATATCATTAAGCTTTCTATGTAGCCTTTTGATAACATTTAAAATAATATAAACTTGCTTTATAAATCTAATGAAAAATTGCATTCCATACAATTAAGTATTTGTCATAATTAGTCATCCAGCTCTAAAAATATTCTTGTGCATGTCCTTTTCCAGTCAATACATTACTTGAAATTTCCTGATTTTATTCAATCAACACGACAATGTAAAAGCTCATTTGCCTGAAGCAGCATAAGGAAAGATAGAAACAATTAATCATGTTCATTACAGTCTGCGAGTGTTTGCAGTGAAACTTTATTGCAGAATACATTGGTCTTTTCAACTGCCTTGAAACATTGCACACATTGTATGGAAAATTTCATTCCAGCAACGATTTATTAAGAGAAATGCCTTCAGAATACAGTGAATCATCTACAGGAATGGCCGTGAACAAGTAGTTGATTGTGTTTTTTCCATTGAAAGAGTAACCAGACATTGATAAAGAAAAATATATTTCAGAAATTAAAAGTTCCTGCATTTATATCTTTCAAAACCACTCTCGCATATGTTTATGAGTGTTCTCTTCAGTAGAATAATTTAATTCTTATTACATATAAACCTTGGTGGAAGACAACCCAAATACAGTACCTTCACAATATTGACAATTTGCATAACCAAAAACAAACCTAAATAAACTCAAATAAAAAAGGAAACACTTTCAAATATCCACTCTTAGCACTGTATTCTGTAACAATCTCTGCTGCTGTTAACAAAGGAGCAAATGTTTAGTTACTGAGGTTTTCTGCTGACAGCATGAGTGAGGTCTAATGATACATGGCACAGCTGCCTGGCGATGGCAGCCGTTACTTCTATTTAACATGATACAATCACCTGGTAACAGATTGATGAAATGCTATGAGATTAAGTCAACAGCAAGGGTGAGAAAGTACTGCTTACAGTTCATAAAACTGTTAGCAGTTGGGAGTGATTGTTTAGATAGATGAAGCAGACTTCCTCCAGAGCACTGAAACGAAGGGAAAACAAGGCCTTTGTACGTTGATCAGAACAACAGAAGGCAGCTCAAAGCTGCGGTAATGAGCCTGTGTAACTCTTGAATGCTGTACCTTAAATAAATAATTTGAATACAACGATGATCAAAATATATGACAGGCTGCTAATAGATTGTTTTATCACATTAAATACATACAGGTTGGGCATATGCAATCAGATTATCAACTAGGAGCTTCAAGCCGATTACACACTAAACTATTATTATTTCTTGAAAAAAATTAGCACTCATCCAGACAGGACAAAAAATATAACAAGATTTGCACAGGCTCAACTAGGCAGCTAATATTGGAGGCAATCAAGCAGCAGCCTCCATAAAGAAATATACAGATGAAAAGCAGTAAGATGGTGTTTCAACAAGACACCAACCAATTAAAAAAAAATTGGGTGGGTTCTACAACACAGTCAAATGGAGTTCACTTTAGAACCCCATTACCATTAATCCCCAAAAGACATCAAGACCTAAATGGATTGCAGGCTAATTCATGGCAGTGTGTCAAAGACACCACATTCATACACAATCCACTGGGCACACTCTCCTATTAGCTGTCATATGCTGTGAAGCACATTTGATGCATATATAATTATGCATACATAAATAAATTTGTGTTGCTTATCTTAGTTAGCCTCCCAAAGATAGTCTGTGAGCTGTTTCAGGTCACAGAGAGCATGGTTAGGAGCTATCAATTAATGGACAGCTAGTTCAATTAATCTTTGGTTTATGCACATTAACAGAAAAGGAGATCTAATGAAAACATTTTCATGTGTAAATCTCTCAAAGTTTGTATACCGAGAATTGCTCCCACAATAGCAAAATTGTTTTTGGAGTGAATATTCAGAGTACTGATATCTGGAAGTTTGTGTTCACATCTGGAGCAATGAGCCTGCAGATACACATGCACACTCATACATCTCTAATACACTTCACTAAATTTTCTTGTCCCTGTAGTTAGCATTTTTTCTCTAACATTTCACTGCACTGTATTGTACTTTTTTGATTCTCAACAGATGGCATATCCATTACAAAGATACTAGATACTCACTGGTACACAACACTACTTGGCTCTCTCAGGGAATTACAGCAGAGCATATAACTGCACAACTTCAACTCTGCACAACAAAATAACACAGCCTAAATAACATGTCAACAGTGGGCCCAGCTCACACCTATCTGGGACAAAGTGCACACAGCAAATGCAGGCAGTAGAGAAGCTAGCTGAAAAGTCTGGCAGCGAACATTATGTGAAAAGATTATTTGCTCAAAACCTTTAGGAGGAAGATTCATGAGGTTTATACTTGGTGATCTGGATTCAAAGAAAATTACCTTTAATAAGACACCACTATACCAGGCTAGAAATGATCACTGGTTACATTCCAGCAATACATGTAGAAGTTAGATGTAACCACATCACACAAACAACTATATTGACCATATGACTTTTAGTGATATCACACAGTAGTGTTGCTACCAAACCTTGTCTCTGTCCACTTCACAACTGCAGGTTAGCCTTGGGAGGAGGATGTTGCAATGGTGTTGCCACAAACAGCTTCAATTATTATTAAGGGAAAAAACAACAAATCTTATGACTTTTAAGAAATTTCCTTTATAAGTCCTCAAAACAAGTATCCTGTACAAAAACATTAAGATACATAATCATTATTAATTTTTTTAACAATTAATGGCAACATCAAGAGTACCCATCTAGGCTTTGTACACTGAGGCACCACTGCTGCAGTCTTTGAGAGAATTCCAAGAGGAATGCCCTGGTCTACCACCTAATTGACCAGCTTTTGTTGGGGACTCTTATAATATGTAACGCAGCCTCCACAAGATGCTACAAGTTCTCTCTAAGTCTTTCTATTCTTGTCGTTAAATTGAGACCAAGTGGGGAGTTGCACCTCTAAGTAGGACTTCACTACTATAGTTCTTGAGACTAGAAGATTTAAAAAGACACTTTATGGAGGAATATACCTCAAGCACAGCGTGTTAAGTATCACAATATGCAGGAAAACACGGTGCGTTTGCATCTTCAAATGTTTGTATGAGCAGCAGAAGCCAAAGATTACACTTTGCCATTTTTTTATTTTCACATCCCAATTTAAGTGTTTCTGGACTGGACAACAGTAACTGGATACACTCCTGACAATCTGGTCCAAAGAAGTATTGTTGTCTTCTTTGAAGAGAAATATCACAACACTAATCACTATTTTACATTTTTCACAATTCTTTGTCTCACATTCTGGAAAGCACTGTTTTAAGTAAGAGTTAATAAGAGCATATTCATAAATATTTAATACCACTCCAGTATATTGGATAAATAATATTGTTTAAAGATACACCTGAGGTGGCAAAATGCTTATACACCCTTACTCTTGTATATATTGGGTCTTGCTTGCATGGTATAACAAATTCGGCAGAGATCATACTAGTAACTTTAATAACCTCTTTGGGAGTGAGATATTGTATCAATAATACAAGTTCTGCCAATTTGACGTGGCCTGAGATATTTAGACTGGTGTCCGGCTTTATGAAGTCTTAAATATTCTTGTCTTTGCTAATTTGCAGAGGTTTTAAGTCGGTACTTTCAATAATTTACACCAAGTCATGTAAATGCACTATGATTTCTAAGAAGTATTTTTCAACACTGTTACAAGGCATTGCTATATACGCACACTATAAGTCAGTCAGTCACTGATGATATAAATCACCATCTGTAGTTTGCATATTTGGCAACAATCTTGTAACTAAAGGCATTCAGAATCCAGAGGCTGACAAACTATGTCCTATCTTCAATGGGTATTTCCAACCCTCTTGTTCCTTTCCCTGCCCCTAAGGCACACAAAGTTGCACACCCGAATTATGCTTCTTCTGCGCTCCCAGCAGCTCTCCAGTACTGGATATTCTTAGGATCCTCTTCCATTAACCGTAAAGTCACTACCCATTCTGAAAAAAAAGAAAAATGTGATGATACAACAAATGAAACAATTCCATTATTATTTACCGTAAGTATGGGCATGCATTTTATATTTAACCCCAATATACATACAGGTACCTGTGTTTTGTTTGTTATAACCCCTGAAAAAACTATTTAAAACATACAATAATAAGTTAGAGAACCGTACAAGGGTATTAGGAAGTGGGATTGAAAGAATTGTCTTAAACAGCTTAAATATCCAAATAAAAATTATAAATTATCATCAGTACAATCCTAACTGAAAAAATTTATTACAGAGTAATGCGGAAAACATTGACAGAATAGGACCTTGTGAACAGTTTGACGTGAATTGTAGAAAGACCATAAAGAGGCAGTTTTAAACCGAGATAAGGTCCAGACTAGTCTCCACATGGGCTTCAATGCATTTGCATGTTAAGTACATCTTTATAATGTCAAAATTATGGGGCTCATATATGTGACGTATATTATATTCTACGATCAAACGCTGTTTTTTGCTGTTATTACACTATATACACACGTTGTATATACACCTATCTACACGTGTTGAGAGTTTATATACACAGAACAAGTAAATAAGTAATTATCAAAACGAAGGCACCAAGCTGGGAACGCTATGTAGCACCATCAAATGTGCGGGATAATCATAGGGCGCTAAATATCACTAAGGATGCCACTATGAGAACAGAAACGCACAACAATATATAAAGTATCAGATTCACCAAGAATTCTATCAAGGGACAAGTGACCACGAGGGATGGTCGGGAAGCAAGACACACGCTCATCCTGGAAGTCAGGACATTCAACAAGGATATGCACGACTGTAAGAGGAGAAAGCAGTTTGGACAATAAGGAGCAGGGCGGCGCTCCATTAAATGCCCACGAGTCAAACGTGTATGGCAAATACATAACCTCGCCAGAGCCATTTTCCACTGCCAGTTACTGTGGTAGGAGGAAGGCCACAGGAACACACTACTCTTCAGAGCATGCAGTTTGTTACCAATATCAGAAGACCAACAATGGGCAAAGATGGAGGAATGAATAATTGGGTAAAAGTCGGAATAAGGAATACCTTTATGGGAGATTGGACAAGTGTGGATAGCTTCCTTAGCGGCAGCATCCACATGCTCATTTAAACACACACCAATATGGCTGGGAAAACAGCAAAACTCCACTGTCTTAAATCTACTGGAGATAAGAAACAGCCAATGTTGACTCTTAACTATCACCGGATGGACTGGATTAAAGGAGTCCAGAGCCATGAGGGCACAGAGATTCAACTACAACCACAAAGGAGGAGTGACAGTGAGAAAGCAGTTGACGAAGAGCATAGAGAATAGCATAAAGTTCTGCAGTGAAGATGCTAGTCTGCGGAGGTAGGCGATACATATAGGGGTGGTCAGGAATAACAACAGTATCTTACACCGTCTGTAGACTTAGACCCATCTGTGAAAACGGAAATGGAGCAGGGTGTGAAGAAAAGTGTTCAAAGAAAAGGCATTTCAGAACTGTAGGTAGTGTAAAAGCTTTAGTCATGTGGGTCAAGGTTTTACAAAATTTAGGAATGGGGACATTCCATGGGGTCAAGGACGGAACACCACAAGGAGAAATATTGGCAACACTAACCGAAAGAGAATTTTGTAGGCGAGACAACCGGACAGAAAGAGAGGTGTAGGGGAACAAGGACTACAGGAAGGGTAAAAGTCAAAGCATGACATAGGCGAGTGAGGGTGTTGTAAGGACTACGCAAGGTAGTCAAGACAGTAATGATCATGGCGGTCCTGGAGAGACAGAAAGCCAGTTTCAACATACATGCCAAGGGTAGGAGTCGAACATAAGAATAAAGATAACTGCAGAAGGCCTTTTGGCCCACACGAGGCAGCTCCTATTTATAACCACCCAAGATTACGAAAGGTACTAGAGCTGAGGCGTAACTTAGTATGGTGCAGAGCATCAAAACAGCAAGGAATAGAAGGAGAAGCAGACAAGCAAGCAGGGCAACCATAATCGAGTTTAGACAGTACGAGAGGGGAATGTAATGAAAGGAGCATGTGCGTATCTGCTCCCCAAGAAGTATGGGACAAAACCTTACGTAGGTTAAGGGCCCTAGAGCATTCAACTCAGAGGCAAGAGATATTGGGTGACCACGACAAACGCATGTCAAAGATTAATCCCAAAAGCTTAGCAGAATCTTGAGCCTGGTTAACCCATGAGCCTGGTTAAGAGAGGTCGTGTCGGTTTCCATGTGTCATGTATTTTAAAAAGGTCTGGGGCCTGAAACCAAGGAATACCACTACCAGGACAGCCAGGGAGGCTGAGCACGGGTAAGTGCAGGAAGGGGTGCGTCGTCTTCAGCGGTACTCCCCATTCTTAACGGGGGTCCTACTGCTACGTCCATTCTCCTACACTGGTGTAAAGACCTCATTCTCCCTTTTGCCCCAGCCTGGACACCCAGCCATCCACTTAGGGCAGCCCCTCACAGGCGACCCCTCCAGCGGGTGGTCCGGTGACTCACAAGGACCCTACATTTGTGTCCATTCGCATGTACAACCCCCCAAAGAGGGGCAGGAAAGGGAGCAGAGGCAACCCTCACTGGTCCCAGAGGTGAGCCCCCTCACCACAAAAAAGAAAGACACAATGGAGGTGGATACACAGAACAAGAATCCAAGGTCAGCCTAGTGGCCGAGAACTGTGACGCAGGGGCTGCCCCAAGTACATTTTTACACAATTATTTCAGTATCTGTGGTTTATATATCTAGTTTTTTTGCAGTAATAATATCCAATAGTGTAATATATGGAATGGATAGTTAAACGTGTGGAACTTCACTATTCTCAAAAATATGGAGCTCATATATGGTGACATTATATTCTTATATCATCCAGTGTTCCTATTGTTATTACATGCATGTTATATATCATTATCAACATTTATAGGCACCATAACATACTAGTAAGCAGTTCTGGTGAGTATGGTGATGAAATCAGAACACAGCATGGAGCCTCAAGCAGACGACACTAGCAGTCATATGATGCAAACAATGCTTCCAATATTCTAACCATCTCTCTAGGACTAGCTACAAAACCACTGTTATCATATTCCTGTCACAAAATCCCAAATATGAATCCATTTCCATAACAAAATGAACACTGGTGATGGAACACAAGGTCATTTCATGATGCGTACATGCAGGAAACATTGGCTGGGTGCTGTGTCTCTACCTCATGCTGTGAATATCATTAACATTGTGTTCACCGAGATCTGAATGCTGTATATAGTCTTTATCACAGTCAGGATCATCTATAACACTATCAATGCAAAATAATTCAAGTTACCTATTTTATTCATAATTACTAAGTGGTGCTGAGCCCCATAGCTGCACAGCCGTGCTGTGCACGGCTCCTGCATGCACCAGTCTTGGTCACACTCAGTACTAAGGCTCTCACAGCCAGCACGGATGATGTCAATTTTTCCCCAAGATGGTGTCTGTTTACAGGAGTCCCGAGGCACAGGATGCGAGCCCTGTGTACCCGTGGAAATTGTAAATCGTTCCATATTCCTAAAAAATCCACGTGGCGCTCAGCACACCCTCGATCCAGCGCCTCAACCACTGCACTGCACAGAGCGCCGTAAGTGTTCAAGGCTATCATAGACACAACTAATTAAGCAAAAGAAATTCAAAAGGTGGAAGAAGGGATTCTTTATTTTACTTACATTACTGATAAGTAATTATGAAAAGAAGGCACCAAGCCAAGGAGACCGGAGACTATCAGTGTCACTGGATATTCAAAAGGCGCTAAATATCACAAAGGATGCCAATACGAGAACAAAAGTGCACGAGGTGAATGATATCAATTAAAGAAATCAGATTCACCAATGATTCCATTGAGGGACAAATGACCATGAGGGATACATCCTACCTGGATGAGGTTCTGGGAGCTCTTTGCAAGCAAGACAACCATACGGAAAGGGGAAGATGTGGAATCAAAACAGAGCCACCAGTCTGGTGAAAAGGGAACAGGGCCCCATAGGAGGGGTAACGGTCAAAGTACAACATAAGCGAGAGTGATGGTGTTGTAAGGGCTGCGCAAAGTAGCGAAGACAGAAGGGTGGGCATCACCGCAATTGATGCAGAGAGTTTGGGAAGAAGGGTGCTCCGTCTTAGAAAGACCCGAGGTTCCACACAAGGGGCAGAGAGATATCTCACTTGTGCACCTGAAGGAACCATGCCCAAATCTCCAGCACCTGAAGCAGAGGAGAGGAGAGGGGATGTATTCCTGAATGGAGCATCTGCCACCAGCAAGAATGACTGAAGAGGAGAGGGACCTACCATCAAACATGACCTTCAAAACGCGAAGAGGCTGACGGCGACAACCATGAGGAGACGGAGTGAAGGTATCCACCTGGATGATAGCATGATCTTGGGCCTCAAGGATATATTTTATATCCTCGTGGCAGTCCTTAAGTTCCCCGTCACCAGTCGCGACATGGAGTGGGAGAAGTGCGCGCGCCAATGCAGGCATTCAACCAGTCATTTTTGGAGATCTGAACAGAACTGTCCTCCCCAATGCAGGACAATGAAGCCAAGCAGGCAGCTGCTTCCTGAGAAGGGGGTGCAACAATACGGGTATCAAGGGGTGGGGTTAAAGGTGACCAACGTATCCATCGAATCGAGGTGCTTATGGATAAATAAATCATTAGGACGAGTAGGGTCCACATGACTAAGATCAAAATACTTAGTCCATGTAGCAGGACCAAACAAAGCCTGGAAAGAAGGAGACTGGGAAGGAATCAAGCGCGAGCGAGTGCGGAGGCGACGATGCCGAGCATCCCCAGTGAGAGTGGGTCGAAGGCGCAGTGGTGACAACTAGAGACCGAGCCACGCCAGGTGATGAGGTGGTCACCACTGGGGGCTTGGGGCTCAATCCTGCCCCAGAGGTGGAAGGGGAGCAGAGAGGGGCAGTCGGGAGAGTCCGAGAAGGAACATGGTCAGGGCCCACTATAGCGGGGGCTTCAGAGCCCAGTCTTCCTACACAGTCTAACTCAAGGACTTGGTTGCCTACCCCACGAGTCTGGGAAGTGAAAAGAGGGTCAATCATTGGCATAATAGCGAGCAGGTAACAATTTCATTCACGAATAAGCCCCCATATCCACCATGGAGCCACAATTAGAGGATAGGATACCTAACAAGACGATGGGGGGCATATACTCACGATGCACCGCCAGGGGTGTATTGTGAGTATACGCCCCATAATCGCCACCTTAAGAACCTTAAGTCTGTCGAGATCAGGTTCAGCAATGAAGGCGAGGATTGACAAAGCTCCCCCTCGCTCGCAATGTCGGGTACCACAGTTCAACGGGTGAGAGTATGCCTTCCCAAACACCCAGCAGTCAAAACAGAAGAAGATGTTCGAAAGAATAATCAAGAAAGGCATAAAGTCAGATGGAAATGACAATTAGAAAGGAGAAGAAGGGGCAGGAAAAAAGGAAACATAAGGAAGAGGAACAAGACTTCCAGCACAATTCGTGAAGATGGCAGCAGGAGCATACGGCTTCAAGAGGACAGCGAACTGTCCAGTGGAGCATCACACCCTGGGAGCCGCCCACTAAGCCCCCTCACAGCGACAACGGACCGGAAAGGGAAGGGGGGGGGGGGACTCAAACAAGTTGGTGCCCAAGAGGAAGAAAATTCACAATTAAACAGCCTTACAGGGGCACTGAACCCATTAACCATCACAAGGTACAGTAGTTAAGTAATCCCGTTCTAAGCCTATTCTAGCACTCCAAAGAACATCTTAACTAGAGGCAAAATACGGTATTGCTTTAAATTCGCAATGACTGCCCCATTTTAACATTGCAGGTGTGTCAATATTTCTGTTAATGCAATTTAAATCACAAATGTCATCACAGAATAGGCAACAAGTGTTCATATCACATATGAACACAACTAATGATATACTGTACAGTATTGTATTACCTAACGAAGGCGAGGACTGACGGTTCTAATACAATAACCAAATTATTGTATTACTATATTAATCCTTCATCACCAGTATTAGGGTGCAAACTGCCAAATACACAATTCCAGCATAGGTAATTAGAAACTTTACATACATTCAATAAATATGAATACAAACTGTCTTACCTGTAGTTATACCAATAACTTTTTGAATGTATTAAAACTTTCATAATAGGACATCTAAATAATCACAGGAAATGCCCACTATACTTTTCTGGGATAATTTTGAAAACCCCTTTAATTAAAAACCAGAATTGAATGTAATGAAAGGACATTTTCTGGGCGAGTCCCGTCGGTTCCCTGAAGCTATCTAAACTGATATAGTGCTATATTAATTTTGGGTCATCAGTCACAGGAGCCTTTTTGCCTACCGGGAACCACGAGCCAGAACGTAGTCCCCTCAGAGAGGCACAGGGAGACAGGGCCTATGAGCACTTTATGTTTAAAGTATGTCATCTTTTGTCATCGACTGGAGAAGGCACCCAGATAGATAGGCAAAACAAAACAAGTGACAGTCTGGTGAAAATTGCTACCTACGTCCAGAAAGTGCAAAGAAACTCCCAAAGAAAGAAAGAAAGCAAACCAGCAACTTTTCATGCAACTATCACTCAGCTCAGGTAAGCTGGCAGCCCACCACCTTGGTTCCTGAATGATGAAAAACTGCCGACCGGAAAGAGGGTGGGAGTCAGGGAGCCTTTGGGGCTTACCAAGAAAATGGAGTTTCATTACATTCAACGCTGGTTTTCTGTGGGGAGCCCCATCGGCTCCCTCAAGCTAACTACCCAAAGATATAAGGAAAAACAAGGACTTGCCTGGGAGGCAGCAGCATCGCAGGTCTCGAGACGAGGAAGAAACAGACAGCTGCGACAGATGCCCTAAAGCAATGCCAGGCCAGAAAGGGCCCAGAACGTTATCGAGATATACCCCCCTCCCAGGGCGCACAAATGCCGACCCAGGACATATTCCCAAAGACTGCTGCAAGAGCAGCATACATCCTCATGGGCATGAGGGTATACTGCAGGCTGGCTAGCTGTAATGACAACGCAGATTGAACCCACCCAGAGTGCATCCACTGTCAAAGAACCAGTGGCTCGAAGGTAGTGACGTAAAGCGGCCACCGGACAACACATGAGACACCCCCGGCTGAACCAAGCAAGCATCCACAACCATGGGACCAGACCCCTCTGGAAGCCTGCTGTTTTGTTCTTGCCAGTGAAGAAGGAAAGGCTGCAGACAAACAATATGACCTCCAGGACCAAAAACCTCTGTACCAGGGAAAAGCGGGAAGCTTTCAAAAACAAAACAAGGCCATCCAAAGGCAATCCCGAATCAAAGGGACCACAACAAACCAAAAAGACAAAGAAAAGAACCCAGTCCAAAAACCTAGAAGGGTCAGGCAGCACAAAAGCAGGCCAGGTGAAAAAAAGCCAGAGAAAACCTGCGGAATGGTGTGGAAGTGACAACCACTCCGAGCACAAGCTGCAGTGGCTCCGCCAATGCCACACAATAAGAAGCGACAGTATTCGGCTGGTCCAGGAAAGGCCAAGACAACCTTAACCGACACAAGACAAAACCCTACGAAGGGAAAAGAAATGGCGGAAGGACTGCCAAGAAACATCATACTGTCGCCGAGACAAAGAACGCAGGTGGGACACCATCAAAGAAGCCAACCGATCACCACACAAATAGCGATACACCCACGTCAAAAAAAAAAAAAAGACAGACGTGAAGAGTGGAAGAGTAAGTGGAACCAGCGAGGTACCACACTGGTACCTCGCCATTATTTCCGATGAAATAATAGCTCCGCCACTGCTGAATGAGGCAGGGCCGGAAAAAAAAAAACTCCCAGGTTCGGACACCGCGCAAGCAACGCCTGAAACCAAGGCTGGGCTAGCCAGCATGGGGCCAGGAAAATCACCCTCCCCTGATAGGATTCAAGCTGAGCCAGGACCCAGAGCAACAGCTACACCGGGGCAAAGAGTTACAGAAACCCCCACCGTGACCAGTGCTGCCAAAAAGCATTCACCGCAAGGCCTTGCGGTCTGGGAACGGCGCCACGTACAATGGAAGATGCCAAGACCATGTCGACACAAAACCACCTTCGGGAGCCAGGATGTCTGACAAAGCCAAAAGAAGCGGCACCAACTGCCCACTCCATGGAATGAAGCACGACAGGCTAGTTGCCAGAGCATTGGACACTCCCTGAATGTGAACAGCACAGAGAGCTAAACCCCAAGAACTCATCCAAAGAGCTCCCCCAAAGAGCCACAGACTAAAGCCGCATGCTGCTCCAAGCACACTAAGACACCTGGCCACCACACCACACACAATGCTGGTATAGGCACAAAAGGCAAAATCCAGAATATGAAATTGAGGCCAGAGGTGACCGAGCTAACTCCAACACATCAGTTCAAGAACTGAGGTGGTGGGCTGCCAGCTTACCTGAGCCGGCTCTCCCATTTCCCTTTGAGGGGAGGGATTTTAGCACTAACGAGCGAGTGCTAATTGCATGACGAGTTGCTGGTTTTGCTTTCCTTCTAGGGGAGTTTCTTTGCTCTTTCTGGATGGAGGTAGCAATTTTCACCAGACTGTCGCTGATTTTGTTTCGCCTATCTTTCTGGGTGCCTTTTCTGGTCGATGACAAAAGATGACAATTTAAATGTGAAGTGCTCACAGGCCATTGCTTCCTGCACCTCTCTGAGTGGACCAGGTTCTGGCTCGTGGTTCCCAGTAGGCAAAAGACTCCTGTGACTGATGACCCCAAACTAATAAAGCATTACATTAGTTCGGATAGCTTCAGGGAGCCGACGGGACACCCTCACAGAAAGAAAACATTAGTGCTACAGTAGAAAACAATCAACAACTTACCTTTAGTAACATGTCTAATGAGCTCTTCGTAGTTGAAGTTGATCTTGTCATTTTTGGGTGCCTTAAACCATTTGCTAAAGTCTTTAGCCACTGTCATATTGTTCAAGTGATTATTATTAGTAGTAGAACAATTACTGTCTTCATTCTCTAACGTACAACTGTCACTTCCTCTTTCATCACTATCACTAGTTGTCACAATGGGCTCATCGAACCCAAAGCCAAATTCAATTCCACTAACACTGTGGTTAAACTTAGCATTGTCTGTAAACACAACTGCGGGCTCCAATTTCTTTATACGACTAGTATCACTTGACTGAACACAGGGTGCCACTGACCCATTCTTTGTTTGTTTACTCTGGCTTTTATTACCAAGAGATGGCTTCACCTCACTCGAATCCCCTATCAACAGCCCATTAACACTGCTAAACAAAGGAACTGAGGGCTGGTCAGGCAGCATGTTTTGTTCGGACTTGCAGGTCTGCTCTTGATGCCAGTTTTGTTGTGATGGTAAACTTGGCTCAGGGTGTGTGTTTTGCCGAGGCTGGGAGGTTGACTGGGACTGGGGGGTTGACTGGGGCTGGGGGGTTGACTGGGACTGGGGGGCTGGTTGAGAGGCTGACTGGGATTGCGGCTGGGGAACTGACTGGGATTGCGGCTGGGGAACTGACTGGGGTTGCGACTGAGTGACTGACTGGGGTTGCGGCTGGGGGACTGACTGGGGTTGCGGCTGGGGAACTGACTGGGGTTGCGGCTGGGGAACTGACTGGGGTTGCGGCTGGGGAACTGACTGGGGTTGCGGCTGGGGAACTGACTGGGGTTGCGGCTGGGGAACTGACTGGGGTTGCGGCTGGGGGACCGACTGGGGTTGCGGCTGGGGGACCGACTGGGGTTGCGGCTGGGGGACCGACTGGGGTTGCGGCTGGGGGACCGACTGGGGTTGCGGCTGGGGGACCGACTGGGGTTGCGGCTGGGGGACCGACTGGGGTTGCGGCTGGGGGACCGACTGGGGTTGCGGCTGAGGGACCGACTGGGGTTGCGGCTGAGGGACCGACTGAGGTTGCGGCTGAGGGACCGACTGAGGTTGCGGCTGAGGGACCGACTGAGGTTGCGGCTGAGGGACCGACTGGGGTTGCGGGGCTGACTGGAGCTGGGGGGCTAACTGGGGCTGTGGGATTGGTTGGGGGGTTGGTTGGAGTTGGGGGGTTGGTTGGGGGGTTGGTTGGGGTTGGGGGGTTGGTTGGGATTGGGGGGTTGGTTGGGATTGGGGGGTTGGTTGGGATTGGGGGGTTGGTTGGGATTGGGGGGTTGGTTGGGATTGGGGGGTTGGTTGAGATTGGGGGGTTGGTAGGGTCTGGGGGGCTGACTGTGGATGTGAACTTTGCTGAGAAAGCGAGTTTAGCTGGGAATGTGGATTAGGTTGGTGAGATGCAATTTGAGTAAGATTGTTGGCCTGTTGAGGCTGTATATTTAAATGTGGGGGTGTGATTTGTTGGGGAGGCATAATTTGTTGGGAATGTGGGTTTTGTTGAGGATTTTGATTTTGTTGGGGATGTTGGCACTGCTGAGATTGCATGCTTGATTGGGAATGAATACTTGGTTGTTTATGTACACTTGGTTGGGAATGGGGGTTCGGGTGATTCTGCTTTGGATGCTGAGGTTGCACAGGTTGCTGGGGATGCTGTTTCTGTTGTGTAAAAGGCAGAGAGGGTGGAGATTGATGATGCAACTGCTGAGTTTGTTTCTGATTATTTGGGTGAAGAGAGTTTTGCTGAGAGTGGTACGAGGGATTCTGACTCGAGTGGATGTAGAAATTTTGTCGTTGGTGATTACTATGCTGTACAGACTGCTGCTGAGGTGGGGGATACTGATGATGAGTATTTTGTTGATATATTGCATTCTGATGTTTAGTGTGTTGATGCTGAGAATTATGTAACTGATGATGTTGAGAATTATGTAACTGATGATGATGGTGATGCTGTATCTGATTATGTGACTGTTGCATTTGATGTGTCTGATGAAACTGGTCTTGATGCTGACATTGCTGAGACTGTAATGAAGGATTTGGTGGGCATTCATTTGAGATTTTCATTGGTCTCTTTTCATTTGTCACTCCCTCAACAGTAACTGTTGAAGCTAACAATGCATTCTCTGCATTTTCTTTCTGCCCACAATTAGTCTCACCCACAATAGGCATTTCTTTCAAATTGTCTTGGTTATGCACTACACAAACACTTCCAGACTGCAATACTACATTCTCACTCGCTGGGTTGGTCCTTATTTCACCCAATTTTGAAGTGGATATTGAACTAGGAGGGCCAATACCACCTAAGCTTTCGGCTAACGACGGAAAATTGTCATCTAGAATATTCGTAGGACGAGATTCACTCGATAACGATTTTAAGTCCAATTGCTCCACACTTTCGTTAAAACTTGGCTCAACTTCTAATTCTTTCAGAACAACAGTCCCAGGGTGGCCAACTGTAGGTGCCATTCGTTTCATTTGCGCACGATTAGCAGAGGCAGCAAGCTTAGCAATATTTGCATATGATGCTTGAGGTGTTGAATCAGAGGAGGGTGGCGGTTTACGGACATCAGGACGAGGGGTTATGGAAGGAACAGGCATCGAATGTACAGAGTCATCCCCATCGGAGCCCGAATCCTCACTATGCGGGGCACTTGTGGTTGTCCCGGTATATCGCTCTCCCCCATATCTATCACCAACACCTAGTTGTGCCCAAAAGCTGTTATCGTGTGCTGTGCGAGGCCCTTCCATGAAGTTAATATGAGGTCTTTCATAACCTGCGCTTGACCTCTGATTTGCCTTATTCTGAACAAATCGAGAACAACGCACACCCTCATCACCATACATGCCCCCCATGTTGTTATTATTAATCACTTTGTCCGACCCTATACTCTTCAAACTTTGCGATGATATTTGGGAGCCATTCTTATATCGTTTACTTCTTTTCTTATTACTCACAACTTCAAAATCACCACCAGATGGTGATGATGGGGTACGAGACACATCAACAGTTAAAAATGAGTCTCCTGCACTGTAAAAATCAGCTGCAAAATCTGAGGTCACTTGATGCAAATCAAACTCATTGTCATTGGTTATATCTACTGCTGGCTCCTTTATATAAGGTCCATCCATTATGATGTTATTCATCTTATCAACTTTCTTATTATTGTGATATGTATTTAAAATAGTGAGACACACATCCCCATCATCTACCGTCACTTGTTTACGTATATCCCGCACGATGTCACTCTGTTTGCTCTTAGATACAAGATCCTCGACACTGCTCGATTCGTGTAAATTGCCAGAACATTTCTTATTTTTCTTAGCATCATTATTATTCTTATTCTTCTTATTATTATTTGCCTTTTTCTCTTCCTCTCGCTCTTTGCTTCTCCTACTATTATTATCGCGGGAATCCTCACTCATAAGAGTACTATTGTCTTCATTAACTTTCCACCGGATATCGTCACTTTTACCCTTTTCTACTAACGTATCTTCTATTGTCTTTTCAGAAGTCTTATTCTTCCTTTTTCCATCCTTTTCCTCTCGATTGTCATCTTTTTTACCTTTGTGTTTCTTTTTACTTTTACCATTTGAGGAATCCACTTCAGCTCCCAAGAATTTAAGAATATCGTTGAGGTCTTGGTCACCACGAAACCCTGGCGTCTCTTTAATATTCACAATGTCCTTTTCTTTGTTTGCCTGCAAAGAAAATTGAGATATTAAAAAATGAACTCTATAAAGCATGAAGAAACAACATTAAGACGACAATATAACACAGTTTCAACCAGTTTCAAAACAATTTAACCAAGTAGAGTACACCTTAACAAATGCACTGTGCAAAGTGCCGTTAGGCGCTCTGAAAGTTGTGCTATTTTTTTTAATTAAAAACATTAAAATATAGCCTAATGTTTTCATTACTCTGTTTTTAAATGGAAATAGTTGAGTTTGTTAACATTTTGACATTAACTTTACCTGAATTTTTTAAAAACAATAAAAATGTGTCCTTAACAATTGCACTAAGAAGTTTTTGCCAAAACCAGGTGTGCAGTGCAGTGGTAAATGTCTTGATGGGTCTGGTTATTTTACTGAACTAAAATTTAAGCTTGGGGCTCACTGAGCTCTAAATTTAGAGAATAAAAAAAGAGCCAATCACAGTAATAACTCCCATCCCCAAGGACAAGAGCCCATATCTTGAGGTTATCTCGAGATGATTTCGGGGCTTTTTTAGTGTCCCCGCGGCCCGGTCCTCGACCAGGCCTCCAACCCCCAGGAAGCAGCCCGTGACAGCTGACTAACTCCCAGGTACCTATTTTACTGCTAGGTTACAGGGGCATAGGGTGAAAGAAACTCTGCCCATCGTTTCTCGCCGGCGCCTGGGATCGAACCCAGGACCACAGGATCACAAGTCCCGCGTGCTGTCCGCTCGACCGATCAGCTCCCATACTTAGGCTTCTACCGGTGTTTCCCCCAGGAAGGATTGTTGATATTCAGGATGCAACCCTCACGATAGAACAGTTGCCTAACTCCTGGGGGTACCTATTACACTAAGCTGAATAGGTGAAAGAAAATATATGCCTAACCATTTCTACCCCACCTGGGGATTGAACCTAGGATCCTCAATTGTGAGTCCAGAACAACAAGTTCAGGCCCCATTTATTTTGCGCAGCAAGACCAGGTCTAAACAAAAAAAAATAAATCATGAAGAGTAGTCCAATTGTCTGGGTTCATGCAAGGATTCCCAGTGTTTTGTATTCTTTGTTTTAATATCTTGCTTCATGATTCCTCCTAAATATGCTGCACCCAAAGATGTCTCCTATGAACAAACAAAAGGTACTATTAACTCTTCTGCATCACTGGCAAGTGTCCAAATCTACTTTATAAGAGTATATTTATAACCAAGAAGTGGTTTGTACATTTAGTAATAATGTAAACCAGATGTTTAATCGAGGTGATGGAAGAAATGTGGCAAAAGATCTTGGGAAGGCATTTCTGTTCTCCATGTAAATTCCAATTAGCAAGCCCTAGACTTCTGGAACACATTTCGTGTACTACTCGAGGGCATAAAATATTTTGTCTATGTCATAACTTTTGCTGCGAGCAGCAAGTACATTCACTCGAGAAGCTATGACCAAGAGATGCAAAAACCAACTTGTGCCCAGGTTCTGAGAGACCATTTTCACATCCTTTAACATTCTACTACATATCTGGCCTTCAAAACAGTAAACATGCATACTTCACGACTTATCCTTTTTTTTCTCTCATTACATTGGCAAATATCCTGTTACTTGTCTGAAAAAAATATATATATATATAAAAATTCTTTTGTATATTTACCACTAAACGTTAGTGGTCATAATAATGAAAAGTTCAATAAGCTTAATTAAGTTTAACATACCATAACCTTTACATGTATTGCTCTAAATTCTGTATAAAACATTTTAGAAATATATACAAAAGGGGATTTTGAGGGATGCACTTATTTCTAAAAATATTTTACACAATTTAGAGTGACATGTGTGCAAGTTATTTACAGTAAGCATAATTAAGCATACTGACCTTTAACCATTCTGATTCCAATAATGATTAGTGGTAAAAATATTAAAGACCATATTTATTAGAAATGTACCAAAAGATATTTCAACAGAATGAGAACAAAAAGGGTATGTTTTTCTTACCCCTATGTATGTTTACTCTATGTAAGTTTACTGCTCTTATTTATGCTCAAATTCTATGAAGTGGGAACACTTAGGTTATGATCACCATATTTTCTATTATTCTATTATTAAATGGAAAGCATTTCACACCCCTCAATACAACAAAAATAATTATTAAAAGAAAGCATTATGCCAGTCTACCACTATGCAGTTTGAGAACATTTTTAATGGTGCTGCTGGAAAGAATAGGCTTCTCTCTCTTACTAGAAATGTCTTTAATGTATCTTCCCCCCCCCCCTCTTTCCCTCCACCAGCAGAACCAAAACAATCCAGAATGTGTCACATCCAAATTGACAGGAAGCTTGGAATCTATATCTCAGAAATCTTTACAAATACAATGATTTTCCAACTACTAGTAAAAACATAATATGCTTACCCGATCTGCTCAAAGAGCAACATATAGATAGAACTAGACAACTCAAACCCTGACAATCATTGCTTATTGATGGATTATGTAAACATCTTCAGCAAATGTTAAAAAAATTATTGACACTTTATTAGTCGGATAAACACCAGCTAAAACATCAGCAAAGATTCGTGTTTGTTAGCAATTATGATATGTAGACAAAAACATCTGTGTGTTTCACAATTTTAAGGACTGAGGAACGGAAGGAACTGATCCATAAAGAATTGAACATTTCAAAAAAAGACGATATAGTGACATTCAACCTTTCATTGTACAATACCACTTCCCATATTTGGCAGCATAGTGGAAACCACCACCACCATATTAGCAAAAACATCTGCACCTTTATTTGGGCCATTTTCAGACCATGTATCTTGAGGTTACCTCGAGATGGTTTCGTGACTTAGCGTCCCCATTGCCCGGTCCTCGACCAGGCCTCCTTTTTTGTTACACATCCCCCAGGAAGCAGCCCATAGCAGCTGTAACTCCCAGGTACCTATTTACTACTAGGTGAACAAGTGCATCAGGGTGAAAGAAACTCTGCCCATTTGTTTCCGCCTCTGCCAGGGATCGAACCCAGAACCTTAGGACTATGAATCCCAAGTGCTGTCCACTCAGCCATCACGCCCCTTGAATACTGAAGTTTGAACAGAACACAACATCAGATATTCATTACCTCGTGAAAAAATTTTCATTCACACATTATCATTACTTTCTGCCTATGCTCTTAGCCTCCCTCTTTTAGCTCAAATGTATGCAGGCACTTTGAGCACCACTATATTCAACCACACTTTTATGGCTCTAACTGCTCTTACGTTCTCCATCTTATGTCACATAATCCAAACTTCTACAACATTAGTCTCAATCACCCTATCATGATCTTGCCTTGCCCACTGCCCATGTTTCTCACAAATGTTAGGGTTTGAATACTCATCATTTTACCAATCACACATCCAAGACATTCAAACTTGGAATATCAGTCTTTCTATTATTCAAGATTTCACACAATTTCTTTACTATGCTACCACCATTAAATGACTGACATCCATTTCGTAGTCTTCTTTGAAAACTATTGTAAACCGACTTTTACCCCGTACATTATGGTAAATTATTGTGCTCTACCCATTCACTAACCATTCCCATACACCAAAATTTCCTTTCTCTGGCATCCTTAAATGATATTTTATATATTATTAGGATTCAAACAATCCAGCCCTTCCTCCTGTTTAGATACTGCCTATTGTGCCAGTCGTCAATAGTCACAAATTCGTATGTACAGTACTTAGCTTTTAGATACTGTAGTAGTATACCGACTTGTAAGGAATTCTTTTAAAATAAATGAAGCTAAAAAAAAACTTAAATATTCATAGACCTATAGTGCATACATGTACTCTATTAGGCCTCAAATATTGTGAATTAGGCCTAGGAACATGAGGTTAGTTTAGTTTGTCTTTGTAACGAGTAAAAAAATTGTTTTCCAGTGCGTCCAACTCAATAGTTCAGATTTCTACTTTGTAATTTCATTGTACGTTGGTATAAACAAATCCACAAGGGTGGTGATGAGGTATATATACTATGGTCCTCATTGTTACATCGTTACTCTAAGTGTTACCAAAACAGGAGGACGGGCTGAACAATTGTTTATTACAGTCCTTTTAATTATTTTAATCTTACCTTTTTCTTATCATTTCTAGCTTTGACACGGTCAAACCTGCTAGCATCCTTATGGGAATTGTTCATCACGTTTTTGCGTGCAGTATGGTGAGTCGGCATTACCAAAGCATTAGACCGCTCGCTAGCCGACAATGAAGCTAGAACAGAATTGCTTGATGTAGACATCACAGGATTTCCATTTTCATCCAAAGAAGATTTATTCTGTAACAGAAACAACCTGTAAATGCAAGGCATTTACCAAATGACAACATGAATCTCTTATGATAACGTTTGCTATGAAACCAAGTTCCATTAAGCATCTGACATTTATAAAAAAAAAGAAAAAAAGTCCTAGGCTCCAATGGAAAAAAAATTAAAAGAAAATGTGAGCAATTAGCTTCAACGTAAATTTATTCTACAAAGACTTGGGGGTAGAAAAAGCAAGAGGTATCTCATAAGGTCAAATTCTCAGTAATGGACCCTCTCTCTCAGTGCTGAGCAGTATGCATCAATTCTTATGAAATATCTCCATGACCATCTATTGCACCACAAATACATTCAACAAGGTTAAACAGTTAACTAAAGTTTCAGAACATGACTGATTTGCAATGCCTCCAAGAAACAGCGTGAATGAAATTGATGAATAAATCCCTATGCTGTAAGGCCTTTATTGTGAAAAGTGCCAAGGGTATGTAGTGGCACAGCTGTGTATTGTGTACCAAGTTCAAACTTGACAACATGTCACTTGAACGGCCAAGTCCCAACACTGTACAGATAATACCTTTCACCTTTGCAACCCATTGCGTACATAAAAGAAAATTTAGTGCACAAATTTTTGGATCACACCTTTCATGAAAAACACGTAAACACCCCCTCCCTCCCCCCCACACATGGGCCGACAATCTAGAATTCAACTTGAGAGAAAAATTGAGACCTCAAAAGGCAAAAAAAGCACTTCACAAAACAAATAACCTTAAAGAAGGATAAATTTTATCAGAAAAGTATTTTGCATAAAAAACCTGAAGGCATTACATAACACCCAGAATGCATAAAACAAAGGAACAAAATCCAATTATTTTTCTTATAGGCAAATTCCGTATAAAAGATAACCCTTCACCTGGTCCTTATTTCATACATGGTATTTACATAAGCAATATTAAATGAAACCATTCAGGAAATAGAAACGAAGCCATATTAATCAACTTTTGCATTCCGAGTGTGAACCGTCTGTTTTGTTCACAGTAAACTAACCTCTTGATTTCTTTCAGCAATATTTTAAATGCTAATACAGCAATTATTTCAGGTTGTAAACCTATTTATAAGATATCAGCATCAATTCTGGTACCAAAACGTTTATAAATTAATTGTCTTGAGTATATGTACAAAATTTTATAAACAATGTCAGGAAAACGAGGCATTGCAATTTTTGGTATTGTATAATTTCCTGTACAGTGTATGAAACTGGAAAGTATTTACGTAAACTGACGTAGACAGAATTTTTTTTTAATTATTGTTTATTCAATAAATTATGAATGAACATAATTTACATGCAGAACCATCAAACATTTGTGAAGCAAAACTTGAAAAAATTACTCATTTCCAGTTTTCAAAGCTTATAGACAGTCTACTAATTATGGTTTTTTAAATTTATTTATTTATATATACAAGAGTTGTTACATTCTTGTAAAGCCACTAGCACGCATAGCATATCGGGCAGGTCCTTAATCCTAATTTTTCCCCTGCAAACAACCCGCCAAATCGTATAACAACCAGGTACCCATTCACTGTTAGGTGAACAGAGGCTATATTTAAGGATTAGTGTCCAGTCAATCCTCCCCATCCAGGAGGAGGCTAAGAAGGATATCAAAATGTTTGAAAGTGCATATTCTTGAGCATAGGCACAAAATAAATTGCACTCACATTGTCAATTATGTGAAGAACTAATGTTTAAATGCAAACTTTCATTGTGAGGGGATTTGTTATACTTTTTCACATTTATGTAATTGTGCACAAATAAATTATCTGACTTTAGAAGAACAAAAAGTTCAGTGTAGTACTTGAATAATGTTTATTCAATTGTTGTACCCAGATTATTGTGTAAAAATTAATTACTCTCTCTTAAATGTAGTTTTGGAACGTGTGGTGCATGTCAGAGGTGACCGGAAGTGCAATTCAAGACGGTCCTCGTCAGACCTCATTGGTTGAGAGTGCAGGATCACATGTAGACTAGAAGTGGTCGGAGGAGGGTGAATAAAAGACACCAGCAAAGTGAGAGGTCACAGAACTGAACAGGACCTGGATGAAGGAGGCGAGGACCTGGGGTGGACTCAGCCTGGTTAGCCGAGTATTGGTTCAGCAAGTTCAGCGGTTCGCGGCTCTCCTCACACTCGCCAGTGGGCAGCCAACGAACCGTGGCAAATTCAGTGAGTTGGTGTCTTTTGAGTAACGAGTGATTAACATTTGGCTGGTAACTTGTGAGAGATTAGTTAGGTTTTCAGGGATTAGAGATTTAGCAATAGGCTGCATTAGGACATGACTAGCAGTGGCTGGTGTGGATCACAGTTTGTGACTAGGTGGTGGTAGATGGTGTAAATATTGTGTATATATATACCGAATACATAGCTTAACACCAAGCTGTGTTTAGATTATCCCTTGTGTTCCCTACAAAGCCAGTGGCCTGTGTATGAGGCTGGGACATGTAATGATGATATTGTTGCTTATGAATATATTCTTGGTAACCATATTGAGATACTAGGAGATACATAATTACTGAGCATATTTTAGTACAGTGGAGTATTCGGGCATGACACAATCAACTTTTAAAGCAAGCCATACTTTACTGTCATTTACTGTCTGGTTCAAACAAGTTATCAGCAAAGCACTTGTTCCAGAAGTGTTAGAACGTCATCAGTTGTGAGTCGTGTGTAAACCATTTTTCATTCAAAAAACGGGGAATTGGCAGGTGCATGGAATGGACTTTGGCCTTTGTTTATGAGGATGGGCTGCTAATACAAGACCAAGACATTGAAGCATTATGAAATGATCTTTTAAGTAATCCCTGAACTTGATAAAAAAAAAATATGCCTCCTGAAAAATAAACAAAATGTTTGGCTTTAACCCTTACACTGCTCAGGGGTCATATGGACATTTACACCCCTGTGCGCAAGAAAAAAAAAAATTCAAAAATTTTTTTTCGTCTTCTAAACATGTTAATTTGTGTCCCCCGAGCACAGAAAAAATAAAAAAAAAATCGTAGGTGACATATTTTGGGCGCAATTGACCGAGGAAGTCTGGCAAAAAGTGGGCGTTGACAGAGCGGGCGTTAGACCCGGTCAGCGTCACCCGCGTTGACAGATGGGAGTTGCCACAAAGATATTATTACCTAATTGTTTCAATGTCTTCAATTGATTTTTTCTTAGTTTTTTTGCAGTAATATTATTCAATAGTGTGTATTGTAATATATTTATATAATAAAAGTGGTTAATAATCACTATACTCAAAAGTATGATGTGCATATTAGTGATTCAGTTATTATGTTTATAAAACAATAAACAAATAGTTTTGCTGCTATTACACTCTATACACAGGTTATATATAAGTATTGGCATGTTTTGGTCACCATAACGAACCACTAAGTTGGTATTGAGAGTCGAAAAGCAACGAGGAGTTACCGCCACACACCAGCCAGCCACTCGCTGCCACTCCCTCAACACACGCACTAAACTTTATCCCCCAACAATACCAGTTGTGGTGTTATTACACTATATACAGACGTTATATATAAGTATGTGTACATTTTGTTCACCACAACTGTGCAGCTAAGCTGATATAGTTAGTTCAGGCACTAAGAGTCGTCGCTATACACAGATGGCGGCTGGCGGCTCCCTCACTCTTTCAGGGTCACACGCACTAAACTTTCTCCCCCAACAATACCTTTTGCAGTGTTATTACCCTATATACACATATTATATATAAATATCTACATGTTTTATGCACCGTAACTGTACACCTAAGCTTGTAGAGCGCCCAAAGAGCATAGTGGCCACCCTCTAAACAGCTAGACAAATCGTGCAGACGTCACCTCCGTCACCCATATGGCTCCTCCCAGCATAATCCTTTTGCTGTTATTACACTAATACACACATTATATATAAGTATCTACATTTGTGTTCACCATAGAGAACCACTGACCTGGTATGGTGAACGCAAACAATAACAGGTGGCCACACAGTCAGTAAACGATGCTGTCTCCCTCCGTCTCTCAGCATCACTCCTCACACAGCGCTAATTATTACAACAATCCTGCTATTATCACAACCCTGGTTATTTATATCACAGTCATTGGTCATCTGTAATATTGTCATCGCTAAATAATAACAATTATATATTTATTTTGACATTTTTCGGCGATGCTGTGGTCACAAGCTGAACATCAATGCTGTTCGCTCATGCTGCGTGCGCCGGCCTTGGTTGCTCCAACAGTACTGTGCCTCTCACACCTGAGAATATTGCCCATGATTTTTTTTAAAATGGCATCTGTTTACAAGAGCCCTGAGGAAGCTACTGTGAACCCCGTGTAGCCGCGGGCCATTTGAATCAGGCCTGGCACCCTATGGCGTATATATACGCCATGCGCACCATGGGACATGTTACTCAGGGCGTATATATACGCCATGCGCAGTTTAAGGGTTAAGGAAAATAAAGTGTTTAAACAGCTGTACAAATCCCTGGTGTTGCCATCTTTCCTACTGTATCCAAGCATGGAAACCTCACATTCAAAAGGGCATACATATCTACTTTGGAGAAAGTTCAAAGCAGAACATCAAAAGCCCAGAACTAAATCAACTGACATCAGGAACAGATGAGGGCCTCAGGACTAACATCATTACAAACCAGACACAATAGGACTGATCTCATCGAGACCTCTGAAATACTGAACAAATTTGTTCAAGGATATTTGCTCAAGAAGTGGCACTAGACAACTTCAAGGTGTCAAAGGTAATGCATACAAGGGGCAGCAGCTTGAAGCTCAACAAGCCATGATATAGGACAGGAAGCAGGAGATGCATTTCCACTCTCAGGGTAATAAACCCACAGAATCATCTAACCTCCGCCCGTGAATGCCAAGACATTACTTCAGTTTAAAATTCCGATGGAAAAGACTTAAGGAATAATGAAAAAACACAGTGGTCATGGCCCTCGGGTAAATTAAGTTTAGTAGGGACTGTATATTTAAAGGTTCAAATCTATTCGCATCTATTCAATCTACAAAATTATGTGAAGACCCAATTTAGGAGAAAGCACAGTATACAAGACAGGAGGGAAAAGAAGAAGAAAAATTATGGGGTATAGGGTTGAACAGTACTGTAAACAGAAAACAAGAAATTTCTAGGAGTGAGACAAGATAACTGGTATTTAAAATTTGTGATCCTACCTCACTGCCTCCACTGTCACTTCGACTTGCTAGAAGTTTTCGTTTTCCTAAAAGCTCCTCTTCTGATCCTGAAAAGAGAAAAGATCAATTTAAGTGGAGCAGCAAACACACACAAACTCTCAAGAGTGCAGACTGTTCAACAAAATACATACAAAACAAAACCAGCATTGAATGCACTGTAATGAAATGCTTCTTGCTGGGTGAGCCCCTGTGGCTCCTCAAGCCTATCATGCTGAGATATCTCCTAACTACTAGGTCACATCAGCTATGGAGGTCTGTTTGGTTTATCGGGGACCAGAGCCACAAATTGACCCTCTCACAGAGATGCAGAGAGGAAGTAACACTGCCATTCAACCAGGAAAGCATCCAGAAGGTCAGCAAACCATTGTTGGATTCGAATAGACCGAAGCCTCAAAACCGTCAAATTAACTCCCCCCCACCCCTTCCAACAATGTAAACAAATGATTGAATCTTTTGAAACAAGCACAAGCTTGTTAGCACTACTCCACACCAGTTAAGGGGTGCAGCAGAGCTCACGGTCCCCTCCAGCCTTCCTCACCAGTTATGGAGCAGATGCGCAGATAACACCCACCCACCAACCAACAACCTGAAAGAAAGGGAGGTAATCAGGTACCCGCTGGGGCTTGTTACGAACCTCGTCTCCAGTAAGAGAGATTTTGTGTAGAGACAGTTTATGCAACAATTTGCCTAAAGAGTGAGGGGTTATGTAAGAAAACAAGTGGTGGTATCTGTTCATGGAAGCAACTGGCTACTGGGAAAGCATAGAACGCTGGTATCACTCCACCCACGAAACTAGTACCTGGAGTCATGTTTATTATGGATAACTTGTAGATGGCCAAACACACCACAACAAAACCACCCACTAGGGAGGGACATCCTGGCACAGACACATCCTGCATCACTACCACTCACACTAGCCACCATCCTCACACCCACCTACAGATGTTCACACGCACACACACAAGTCGACACTGAATGTGTTTTAACAAAGACAGATAAGAAGCAAAATTAGAAATATTCAGCCACAATTGTGTATTGTGGCTGGAAGTGGCAAGGAGAGGTATAATGTATGAGAGAAGTCAAACCATGCAAACACTACATGTGTGTGAGTCAAAACACCCTTTTCACTTATGGTAAAAGGAAAAATGCTTGGAGTGACTATACACATGCGGCTCAGGTTTGGGTATATTACTGGGAAATATGGAATAGGTGTTAATGACAATGAAATGAAATTTAAACTATGTGGTATGTTAAGATCTCACACCCTTACTCATTATGTTCTTGATTGACCGTTGATTAATGTACAGTATATAGAAATGCTGAGATAAGGACTATTCCTGAACAAATAGCCTGGATGTGTTACAACAGAAAGATTGATGATATACTGGAAATACAGTATAAGAATTTTGCACCAAGATTGTAATCTCGTTGAATTGTCAATGTCTATTGCAAATTGTCTGTACCTAGTCATTAAAGTATGTGTGTGTATGTACATCTTGTAACACCCATGACCCCCCCCCCCCCAAGAGTTCACACCCAGGGAAGCCTTCTCCAAGAGGTCAGTCCAGATGACCTCTGGATTATCTTGTATGTTAATTAAAAATTCCTGGGTCAGTCTTAGTCAGCTAGTTTCAAGTATGTAATATTTCATGATACTGTTGTCAAACATTGCAATGGAATTAGATCCCAGATTCTTATGTGTAAACATCCATGGATCTCCCCCTTTTAGCCAGGTCAAAGGTCAGTCACACATGTAATTAATAATTCCTCTCTTGAACAGTGTATGGTGAATGTCAAACAAGCTTAATGGAAAAATTCTTGAGTGTTTGTGCACGTGTGGCCGACCTCTTACATTTTTGGTGTAGGTAGCAACAGCAAATCTTCCCCCCCCCCCTTTTGGGGTGTATATATTGGTCCTGTAGAGACTTAGAGACAGAGTGCCGGACACCAGGGTCAGGAATGGATCTGTAAGAACATCGCACAGCCAGGGAGGGACAGAATGAATCCACCGGAGGGAGAGACAGAGGTCTTAAGGTAAAGTGTGATCTCTGAGGGTTTTGTTCCATGTCTAAATTTCTTAACTATTAGCCAGTGTTAGAGTAGGATTTATAGTGGTGATTAGCATAATTTTGTTCTCAATAAACTTTTGTTAAATTTCCCGTCTGTGTCAATTGTTGAATCCTCTTAGCCTTTTGGATATGGTGGGCTGACAACTGTCCCGTAATTAATGACAGTTATAGAAAGTACTCTCCAAGTCAATGTTTCTTGCCTCATTGCTTGATATAGTCTCAATGGTCAAGGCAGATGGTGGCAGCGTTTTTTAATCCTGTGTACCATTTCCTTGTTGTCAGTGTACCTTTTGGTTCCAGTGTAACCACCATATGTCAGCTCATATGTGTCCGGTTACTCCTTAAACTTACGATTATCAAACCCACTACAGTGTTTAGGTTTAATATATTGCTCGTGTCATTTGTAAATGGCAAAACACATTGGTGACTTATTATTATTATTATACATGTGTGAAGGTACATGAAAGATGTGGGGAGTTTCCTCCTAAATGAATTTACTTTGTTATATGTACATTGTTATTTATTTGTAAATACATTATATATTTCTTTGTGTCACTCGACCTAGGAGTTTCTACACTCCTCTGGGTATTCCTCTAAGCTTCATCAGCAGGCTAATATCAATCATACATCCCTAGAGCAACAAGTGTAACTAACCATAGGACCAAAGTACTAGCCTAGGGGCATGGCCAAGCACATGACAGGACATTAAGGGACAGGCTGTGACAGTCAGAACAACAACAAAACACGTGACAGGACTCGCCCAAAAAGAGGCCTTCCATTACATTCAATGCTCCCTGAAGCTAACTACCCACAAAGAAGAAAGAGGGACTCACCAGCAAGGAGAAACTGCAAGCAATCAAGATAATACAACAGGCTGATAAGAGACAGCCCAAAGCAAAAAAAACACACACACACACACACAAAAGTTCAGGAACTTTAACTAAATATCAGTCCTCTAGAACCATGTTAAACTACCAAAACCCCACATTTAAACATTAACCCAAGACTAGTTGGCAAAAATTACCAGAAAAGCAGCATACTTGCAAACATCATGACATAAGGGTACACTGCAGACTGGCTGGACTTGACACTGTGGATGACCCGAGACAATAACCTTGGTCCAAGGAACCAAGAAAGCAGGATCATCCCACAAAGCACATGATGCACCACTAGTCGAACCAACAAAGCATTAGCGCCCATATGACTTTTCCAGAAGCCCATCAACTCATTCTTTGCAGGCAATGATTACAGATGAACATAATGCTCACCGGGGCCAAATGAACAAAAACCAAACCCATGGAGAAGAGCATGAAGCTTTTCAATCCTACAACCAGAGGCAAGCATCAATAGGAAAATAACTAGAAAAGGAATCCTGGATTAAAGCAAACACTGTAAATTGTCAATAAGAAAAGGCAAGGACATGGTGCAAGGACCAAGTGAGCTCGTGCAGCGATTGAGCAGGTCAGAGGTGAAACAATGTGAGAACTTCTGAAATGGTACCAGAAAAGTATCAGCCCTGAATGCAAGCATCATACAGAAACCTGTAGGGGATTCCCAGAATCTAAAGGAATAACAAAGGACACCCAGGCACTGGGGACGCTCGCCGAATATTGTAAAGTATGAAGACACAGCCTAGTTAATGCGGCTGTGAGGGCAGACCTCTGTATGCAGTGTGAAGAAGTACGCCCCAGCCAGCTTGCTCACTTCTGACCAGGGGCCCAGACAGTAGAGCAGAAAGACCCCCACCAATTTACCCAAAGTGAGGCCCCCACCCCAGTAGTCCAGTGTCTAAGATAGCAAGCTCCCAAACACACCAGAGAAGAGAACTCTATTGGTGCTAGGGCAACACTAGGGAGCACTCAAGAAAGTAACCCTGAGCACATGAAGCTCCAAGTTCCCTACGAGCCAGGTCCACAACACAAACCTGACAGAAAACATTTGTGAAGCAGAACTAAAAGAACAATACTGTACCAAGCAAATGCCCCCCCCCCCTCCCCCACAAGACAGAGTCCACGCATGGCCAGCACTTAGCTTAAAAGCAGTGGGATTCGCACAGCTAACTGATGACCCGGGAGTCCTACAGATGGTCACATGCACCTGCATCAGCGACAGAATTGGTGTGGAAAGCCAGAGGGGACTGGAAAATCTGCTCCTCCCCAGCTGGTGGGGAAAGTAGTGAAACGAGCTCATGCTTGTTTCAAGAGATTTATTGTTAGTTTACATCGTTGGAGGAATTAAGCAGTTTTGAAGATTCGGTATCTTTGAATCCAGCAGTGGTCTGTATTGGTTCAGCTTCCTAAATGCTTTCCCAGTTGGGTGAAGCTCTCTGCACTCCTGAAGGAGGGGGGATCACAGATTCCAACTCTGTTCCCTGGTAGGCTAAACAGAACTCCATGGATGTGACCTATGACATGGCTTCAAGGAGCCACAAGGAGCTCAGAAATTTTGATTACACCAGGGGGACAAATTTCTGTGTTGGCATAACATTTAATCTTGCAAATTGTATTTATACAATTCTGGTTTAACTGGCTAAACAGCACACATCGAATATATACATTTTAAAGTACCGTGTAAGATTTAAATGTCCTGCGGTTAGTAAACAGTCTTCAGTCATCAGGACTCTAGTAAATAGACACCGTTTGGAAAGAAAATTGTGGATAACATTCCCAGGTGTGAGAGCCTCAGTACTGAGTTAGCAACCAAGGCTGGCACGCAGCATGAGCTAACAGCACTGCTGTTCAGTTTGTGACCACAGCATCGCCTAAAAATGTCAAATTATATATGTAACTGCTATTATTTAGCAATGATAGTATTACAGAAGTCTGACTAAAAAAGACTGTGCACAATGTTCAGATATCAGTGAACACAATGCTGTTCAAGATGTTTAGAGTTAGCCGCAGCACATTACCTTTATTTGGTCCATCTAAGAATCTTGAAACAACTTGCCATGTTACTTTACAAAATAAACTTGTGGAAAATTGTTCATTTACAGGATTTTGTGACCAGAATTCTGATAATAGCAGCATTATGCTGAAAATTAGTGATGTGTATAGTACTGTGTAAGGAGGAATCTTGGTGGGGGAGAGGGAGGTGGTGTCAGCTGCTGACTGTGTGGCGAGAACTGTCATTCGCCATACCAGCTCAGTGGTTCGTTATGGTGAACACAAATGTAGATACAGTACTCATATATAACGTGTGTGTATATAGTGTAATAACAGCAAAAACAATATGTTGGTAAGAGGAATGTTGGTGAGGGAGGTGGCATTGTCTGCTGGCTGATGTTTGACTTGAGTCATACAGTAACTAGTTGTATTCATCAAGTTGTGCTTGCGGGGGGTTGAGCTCTGCTCTATCGGCCCACCTTTCAACTGCCAATCAATCAACTGTGAATAACTAGGGGTGTGTGCGTGAGTCCCCCCCCCATCCCCAGGAAGCAGCCTGTAACAGCTGTCTAACTCCCAGGTACCTATTTACTGCTAGGTAACAGGGGCATCAGGGTGAAAGAAACTCTGCCCATTTGTCTCTGCCTAGTCCAGAATTAACCCGGGCCACAGGATTACGAGTCCCGCACGCTGTCCACTCGGCTACCAAACCTCTAAGTGTATGTTGGCTGCTATGCTGTTTGAACACCATACCACCTTAGTGGTTTGTTATGGTGAACAAAGCATGTAGATACTTATATAATGTGTTTATATAGTGTAATAACAGCACAAACAGTATGCTGGGAGGAACGTGTTAGGGAGGGAGGGAGAGGGAGGTGGCATCAGTTGGCTGGTGTGTGGCGACTACTGTTATTGTCTGAAATCGCCATACCAGCTTAATTGTATGGTTATAGTGAACACAAATGTAGATACTTATATAAAATGTGTGTATATAACGTAATAACAGCAAAAAGAGTATGTTGGGAGGAGCCACTTTGGTGAGGGAGATGTCATTTGCTGGCTGGTGTGTGATTTGTCATGCTGTGTAGGGTGGCCACTATGCTGTTTGGACATCATACCAGCTTAGTTGTACAGTTGTGGTGAGCAAAACATGTACGTATGTATAACGTATGTATATAGTGTAATGTCAACACAAACAGTATGTTGGGAAGATGAATGGTGGTGAAGGAGGTAGCGTCGTCTGCTGTTGGTGTGTTGGTGGCCACTGCTTTTTCGATGCACCATACTAGCTTAGTGGTTCGTTATGGTGAACAAAACATGCAGATACTTATATATATAATGTGTGTATATAGTGTACTAACAGCAAAAATATTTTTATTGTTTTATGATCATAACTGAATCACTAGTATGAATCATATGCACATTATACTTTTGAATATAGAGTTGTTCACACATTTAATATATAAATACATCACACTACACACTATTGAATAATATTTCTGGAAAAAAATCAGACATTGAAATAATTAGGTAATATTATCTTTGTGACAACTCCTGCCTGACAGCTCAGGTGGAAGAGACCGACCTTGGAGACTTCTCTGTCAATGTCTGAATCTTGCCAGACTTCCTCGCCCTATTGCAGCTAAAATACGTCGCCTACGATTATTATTATTATTTTTCCCGTGATCAGGGAACACATTTTAGCATTCTTAGAAGAATTTTTCTTTTCTTTTCTTGTGGACAGCAGTGTTGTCAGCTATTATTAGCAGTGCCTTCCAGGAGTTAATAAAAACATGGAATTGTAATGAGAATAGGAAGTACAGAAAGTACAGGCCTCCAAAATGATAGTTCTCATAGCAACTTTTAAGTATATGTGCAAAATGTGAACTGTGGCACCCAAAAAAAACACATTTTATTGGATTTTGTCCAAGCCAAAAATGAAGGCACCAGCCCATCCTAACCTCTCCTTGATCTAGTACAATATTTATGTATGCAATTCATTAGACTCAAGATTGCATATATTATGTGGTGCTTGCCAGAAAATTATTCACACATTCCTGTGAATGAATAGGTAACACAAATGACATTGTCACTGGCTCATAACAAAAGTATAGTAGGACTCACCTTTGTTAATTAACTTTTCATCTTTGAAGATAGAAGTAATACACTGAGAATCCTGAAGAGGTAGAGCGCGGCGGCCACAGCTGCTCAGCATGGTGTCCTCCTGAAGGTAAATGTACAAAATTCAGTCACCTCACTTTCTTCCCACCCTTTAACAAGATTGCTACTTTCACTTTTTTATTTTAATTAAATATAATTATAAAATTTAAATGCCAAACTAATGAATGGCAGTCAATTAAGTGATAAGGAGTCCTTCTACGGGATCACCATAGCCCGTGCTACATGAACACTTCGTCCTGAGTAGCTAAATCTTTAACAACAACAACAACAGCAGGAGTCCTTCACTGGGAAAATGTGTTAGGAAAATGCACTTCCAACAGCGCTGTACTTTCTCATACTATTTGACAAAAAGTACAGATTACAGTACAGTATAGTAATTTGTTAACATTATTTTTAAATAAATATACTGTAAAAGCAAGAAGTATTATTTAATTATGCTTATAAATTTTTAAAACAAGGAGTTTAATTATAACACCAAATTAAGCATATTTGAAAAGTCCCTCACTCACTTAATTTACCTGTTTAAAGTGTAATTTAATTCAGCAGTTGAAGGGTTCAATTGACCATTTTCTAGTAACCTGCATTTGTAATTGCAGTTTTGGCCTCCTCCCACAGTGCCATTCTCAAGAACAACATTCATCCTGAAGCTTATCCAACTCACTGCTCAATGTATGACAATGCAACTTCACATCTGGTCCAATATACACATCTCTACTGTGAACTACAAGGTTCTCCCAAAGTTCACACTTTTTCTACATATCCTCCATATTAACGCATGATCGTGATATACCAGAGCATCTTAAAAGTATTTTTTAGCAGTAGCTTTATGCAATGCTCAAACACAAGGATTTTGTGGACAATGACCTGGAACTTTACACTATGTTCATCCACCTCTACAAATTACCAAACCATTTTGAATGCCTCAAATGCACTAATTTAACTTCAACTTTATTTAGCCTTCCCCTAATGCTTTTTACTTGAACCTTAATAATTAAACACGGCTTATACGAATTTCAATAAACTGCTTAATCTTACCTGCGAACGACCGAGGCTGAAGCTGATTGCCTTATCTACTTCAGTATGGGTGTTGTCAAAATCAGCTCTGTGGCAAGTAACTTTTTGTAGCTCTATCCCATTCTCCTCTATAGGTTCATCCTCCTCCTCGGTAGTTTCTCCCGCAGAGGCCACATCCTGTTGGGTTGGGGGGAAAACATGTAGACGAAGTGTCTGGAAGGATAACGAGGGTGAGCTCACAAGGTAAAGAATTAAATTTAATGAAACACTTATATGTTGTGTTGTGAATTTTACAGCATTCATATTTGCTCAGTAAAGAGCAGCCTGAGTATTCAAGATGCTAAAAGGGGGAAGGTGGTTGAAGAAAGGAAGGAGGGTTGGGGATCCTCATAAAAATGATACCTACATCTACAAAAAGGAAGGAAGGTGCAAATATATATATATATATATATATATATATAAAAATGGTTTTAGGCTTTGTGCACATCAAGAGGAAACTGGGGAAGAAAGTCACTGGATCCATAGACTCGTGGAGATACAATTCTGCTGGTTTGTTATGTAGAGAAGAGGGCTGTGATGTTCAAGTTAAATGGTTTATATGTTCAGGGATATGAGCTTAGTCACTGAACTACGTGACTGTGCCACTGAGTGTGACAAGAGGATTCAGAATAGGCATAAGTACTGCATCAGATATTTGGAAAAGAAAATGGAAATACATATATGTGACTTCTAATGAGTAAGGGAGCAAGCACTAGTAGTGATTATAACAAACCACGGAAACTCTCACACATTCAGAAAGATGAGAATTTACAAATGGTTCACACATCACCACACAATGGTTATGGGAATCTTAAGTAAAGAGGTTGTAAATACAGCAAGAAGGTTTGCAATCAAATTGGGGATAAGTGACCAAAGCACGTGATAGGGGGACTCAAGATTTCAAGAGGCATAACACATCTAAGAGGATCATTATTGGTGAATTATCAAATACCAATCGGAGCAATGTCCAGCCTTCCATAAATTTAAAACCTACAAATTAAAATCATAAGAATAAAAGTAACTACAGAAGGCCTATAGGCCCATACAAGGCAGCTTCTATTTAGAAAAATTTTTCAAGCAATTTATATAGATTTCAAATTTACAATATGAATGGAACTGGCTTGTATTTAAAGGTTTAACCTGACTATTCTTCTGAAAGCAAAAGTTTAAAAATGAGTGTTTTATGGTCTACACAAATGGTGATGGCATACACAACAAAGTGTGCAATCATTGAGATGTCTACAAAACCCAAGAATTTTGAGCAACCATTTCAATAATTTGGCAGTTTAAGTATTACTGCACTGCATCTTAAAAATATGTTTGTCATATAATCCTTGACCTCACTACACCAATCCTCCTTTCTGTATTTATAAGCAGCAAATTTGGAGTATCTATATTGGACTTCATAAAGCCCTTACAAGCGAAATATTTTTATTTAATCAAATCTACTGTCAACTTTGTGTTCTTCTGTATGACAAATCAAAAGTTATTTCCAAAAATGGTCTTAGATTACATGCAGCCATTAATGAGTTAACGTACCGACATAGAATCTTCTACATCATTGCTAATATCGGGAACAATTCCTCCAGAAGCCCCGCCAACACCTTCTGGAGGAAATGTGTGCTCTGCAGAGTGAGGCGATTGTGCTAATAACCTGCAGCGATTATCCCCAATGGCTTCATCACAAGAGCTCTCTTCACCAGCTTCACGATCTTCTGAACGACGAGAATACCTACAGCTGGAGCTCTCGCTTGCAGTCTTCTGTCGTCGATTCTTTAAAGATGAACAAATAAACCAAATTGAAGTAAAAACTACTGATAAAATATTCAACAACAACTCCCTTGAAATGATTATCTTAAATTTGTCTAAAAAGGATACAATATCGTGACAATTCTTAAGTTTTCAGTGTAATTTATACTGCACAGTGAATGTGGTCTTGTCTCAACATCTCATACACTCATTTACAAGCTATTTGTCCACATTAAATCTTGTCGACCAATTACTGTGTCGTGTACTTATTTTGTCCTGGTGACCTTGAAGGGTGAAGCAATCAAGATATTTTATTTTTATTTTTCCTACTATCTACAAACTTTTAAATAACTATCATTGTAGGATGATCATTTATGTATAGTGCTAGTACTATACATAAATACATTCTAAGTGCTAGTACTGAGCCCTATAGATAAGAACCCACTAGTGATATTCCTCCATTGCAATTTGTCTTAATTACTACAGTACATGCTTGTATAAATTTTTCATCCACGGTATTAGGTTATCTTGAAGTTATCTCGAGATGATTTCGGGGCTTTAGTGTCCCCGCGGCCCGGTCCTTGACCAGGCCTCCACCCCCAGGAAGCAGCCTGTGACAGCTGACTAACACCCAGGTACCTATTTTACTGCTAGGTAACAGGGGGATAGGGTGAAAAACTTTGCCCATTGTTTCTCGCCGGTGCCCGGGATTGAACCCAGGACCATAGGATCACAAGTGTGCTGTCTGCTCGGCCGACCAGCTCCCCAATTAGCTTTCCCATTACTTACCCATTGGGTTGTAACTTCAGGAACATTTTCCTACGCAAGACTTTACCGAAAGTCTTTTTTAATCCAGACTGATGCAGTCTGCCCAAATGACAGCTCTCAAAACCTCCAGTGACTAAGTAAATATTAATACACATAATCATGACGTATTGATACCAAACTGCCCGTTTGTTATTCGATCATTTATTTTGAGAAACTTCATCAATTTAAATTACCTTACAAAGAATAAGTTAAAATAACATGGCAGAAAACAAATAACCTGGCCCCCCACACACACGTAAAATGAAAGGAAAGTAACGATATTTGGTCCATCCTGGATGCTCATCATCAAGTCAAAACTTAAATAAACCTGACCATATTTCCCCTCTATCCAAAATTTCCAGCATGTTACTATTTTGTTCCCTAACATTTATCTTTCCAGGAAATGTTGACAATTACTGCACTATATTTAAAATTAATATGGGTATAATTGAATATATAACTAAGAGATCTCTTATTTCTTTGCAAAAGGATGCACAAACCCTTTCTTTCCACTATACATGATTACTCCAAAGGATTCAGAACATGAGGGCTTCTCTGAAAAAATATGAAGATTCTTGTGCCAATTTATGGTTTTAAATACTGTAGGTATAGGATTCTATTCACCGCATAAATAAAATAGAAAGATGCACAAACAAGACTAATATTGATATCCTACCCTCACTTGGTAAGCAAATAAGCCAAAGATTTTGCTTACCTTACTGCGAGCACCACCAGCAACCTCCGAACAGACTTGACTCAGGCTACCTGACTTGTGGAGTTTCTTAGATTCATTTGAAGCAGCTTCAGTCTTGCTTAAATTCTGTTCATGATAAAAATTTTACTTTTAGTAAAAATTTATAATATATATATTCAATACTTCAACTGTAGAGAAAATTAATACAGTGGAACTCCAATTTTATGCAAATACACACCACCTCAAGATCCCATCCAACTTTGACAGTGAAGGTTTTAACATTGTTATGGGAAGAAATACTGTAGAATGAATTCCAGGATTAATGATTTTATTACATAAACTGTTTAAATAATAAATGTGCTGTAACGTAAAATATATCTTGCTGTAAGCAAGCTATAAAGAGCACAAGCAGTGCATGTACTGTAGCTCAGGATGTGAACAATTCGCAATGTGTAGAAGTGTTGCAATGATTAAAAGATGAAGCTTCAAATGGGGGCAGAATAATAGTTGCAGTCATAAAGATAACCATATCAATAATGTGGTTTAGTTGTGGTAGTGCTTGTAATTGTAAAGGTGGTGGTAGTTGTGGATGGAGCTTACTTATCAATGTCTCAGATGAGGCATATTATAAAGTACTTAAGGTCAACTCTACTTTTTAATTTATAACTTTTTTTATGCTACAATAAACTCAGTTTTTTTTCTATTTAAAAAATGTTGACCAGAGTGCTTAACACCATTGCTCGCTTTGGACACCGATCACGTCCATTTTATTTCTCTTGAGTCCTAGTTAAAATTCTACTTATTGTGCTATTATTATGGGACTAGTTTTAAAATGCACGCCTTTAGATTGCAAACAATTTGATACCAAAACAAGCGACGTAACATGAAAATTGATGTCAGAACACTGGAAAGATCTAAATAATTGTGATTATGAGCATCCAAAATTAAAATATTTGTTAAAATTCGAGTTATTGCTCTATTATTATGAGTAGTTTTAAAATGCATGCCTTTATATTGCGAACAATTTGATACCAAAACGAGCAATGTAACACGAAAATTTATGTTTTTAACTAAATGAGTATACGCATTAGGTTGTGGTGTGCAAATTGGTGCTCGTTAACTGGTAACTTTAGGCTTTGCTGTGGGGGAGTCTCGCCAGGCTTTTGGACATTATATGCATATACACCTGCAGGGAATTTAATTGCGAACACAATGATACCAAAACGAACGACATAGCATGAGAATTAAGTTGAGAAAACTGAAACGAGTATACACATTTAGGAGTCGTCGCATGCTCGCCCGCACCATCCGCCCCATGACGTCAAAGTCCGCGCCGCGTGCACGCTGTGCGCGATAGAGTTAAATTATCAGAAATACTTGTGTGTTCCCCAGCCTGTCCTCCAAAAATGGGGAAGTAAATGTAACAGCACAAGTATGTGCAATTATGTACTATTCATAGCAGTCAGGAATTGTACTTATTTTCACTTAGTATTAAACTGTACTGTCAAATACACATATTGTGAATATTTGAGTTTACTTGAAAAATTGAATAGAAAACCACATCCTAACTTAACCTTCTTAGTGTTTGAAGATAAGCATTTTATTGCTTCTTAATTACAAATAGTACTTAACCTATAGCTAGTTTGACATAACAGTTTTATAAAACTAAAATATTTCAATCAATTGTAAAGTAACTCAGGATATTTTCAAATTTCGTATAAAATGTCTATTGTTTAATAAAACTGAAAAAAAATTCCTGATATTTAAAACTTGTGTGTAGCAAACTGAACTTTAAAACGTCATCCTAAAATTCTGAGTGTCTTAACAGAAAAGAAGGAAAATAAATGGGGAGGTAAATGTAGCAGCCCCATAAGTGCAATTATGTATGTACTATGTATGACAGTAAGGAAATGTACTTATTACATTTATTATTAAACCGTACTGTAAATTCGGAGGATGGGTTGGAGTTCCCATACATTTGGGGAGATGGGCGAGTATAAGAGTATGAAACAATCATTAATTGAACAAACCATTGGAAAGCTAGATAAATTATATTAGAATAAATATTCTAGTGGATTTCTGTGGCAGCCCTCTTGATAGAAAAAATCATCTGAAATTATATTAATCATAACAGCAAAATTTATTTTAACAAATTTTGATGAATATTTCCATAATGAATAGAGCATTTAATATGAAATAACACTTTTTCCAAACTTTATTTTGGCAATTATCACAAAAAAAAAAACTAAGAATGAAATGATTGAACTTTCAAATTGTTCCAATGGGAGGATACCTATGGCGTTTCCTTTATGTTACGTCACCACAAAAATGAAATAGGGCACACACACACACACACACCAGGGTGGGGGAAAGCCACATAAGCAGCTCCCCAGGAAAGAGAGAGTTGGCACAACTTAATGGTGCCACAGACAATAGAAGCATACAAATACTGTATAATATATACAGTAACATGCGTACAAATATAATAAATACAGTAACACGCATACAAATATAATAAATACAGTAACATCAATGTTACTAAAGTACATGATGTAATGTTACGATTATGAAAATACTGTACAACATTACCGTAAGGACCAAAAAAAAAAAAAAAAAGCAAATCGCCACTTCTGGAGGAGAGGGTTAAGCCTCCCAACCTTACAACCAGAAGCAAGGCCCAACAAAAACAAAGACTAGGAAACAACCAGAATTGTAGGGGCAACAGAACAGCAAGGAGAGAAGAGAAGAAAACTAAAATCTCGTCCAAAGATTAGGACACCTCAGAAGGAGCAGGAGCAAGTCGATGGAGAAAAAATAACCAATAACTTGTGAAATGGCCAAAAAAAAATGTTGACACCGATTGCCAACAGCTGCAACAACACCAAGACCAAATGATATGAGGCAGCAGTAATCATCATGAGAAGGCTATCTACAAACACACACAAAAATGATACAACCACAGGTACAACAACCAAGAACAAGTGACAGAAAAAGATGGAAGGAACACCAAGAAACATCATACTGTTACTGTAATGAAATATACTGGCGAGACACCAAATTATCATTCACCTGTACACCATTCGACTGTTGACAAAGGATGTGATATTACAACCAGGGGTACAAGTACACATATCCCCCGCCATCATCTTCAGTCTCCCTCTGGGTGCTCAGGAATTACAACATTATTAACCTGGCACAACTAGCCTGTTTCTCCAGACAATATTTTATGTCCAGGTTGTAGTGTTTTGTACATGTGTAACAACCATTTAGTCACAACTGTTATTTCATCGTGTTAACGTAAGCTTTCAAATGATGTTCTAATGTGTATTCACCAAGTGTTTTCAGTCTAGAATTTTGTAATTCAGATGTTATTTGTTTATCTTTATTGTAGAGTACATTGTTATATTTTTTGGTCCGAGTTTACTTCCAATCTTGCCCAATTCTCACACTGCTCAAAGGCCAATGCATTTTTTTGTTTTAATTTATTTAATGTGAGTGCCACATTCCATCTGCCCAGTACAGCTGCAGTACCATTTTATGCCACAGTGACAAACTCAACAGATCCACCCAATGAGCTGAGCGGCAAGTGAGTGCTGGTCACAACCCAGGGCTGAAGTGCCAGTGAAAAGATCGAGTGCAAGGGGAGGATAGTAAGGCGCCATGAGACAGAGCCCCCTTAAAGTCAGAAGAGAAAACCAGTGAACCAGAATTTGTCAAAGGGCCAATGGAGCCCTATGGGGCACTTGACAGTCCTGGCAGCATGGAAAGGAGCAGAACCAGAGAAAATGCTATGACACCTGGAGCCAAACCTGCCAGTAAGGTTCAGACTCCAGTCTTGTTTGATCCTCTGGTCACTTGTTATTTGCTCAGGCAAACAACAGGTGACCCGAGGATTCTCCGCCACCAGCCAGATTAAAGTGTCCAAGAGGAGCAAAGACACAGGTAGAAAGGAGATAGGACGCCAACTGAGAATTTCAGACCAGGTCCAATGAAGGCCAAGGCCCCAACTGTAGGGCTGGGCATACAAGTGCCTATAGCCAAGACGTCCAAGCCGTCAAGGAGCTGACCAGAGAACACCTCCACGACAGCCCAAACATGCAATACCACAGCCAAGTGCATGCAGGCCATGATCCATCACAATAGCAGCCTCAAAAAGCCTGAACAAATGAAGTCACTGAAAATGCAAGGATAAGGACAGCACAAGCAGGCAAGACTCAAGCAGCACAAAGGTAGCAATATCCAATAAAAAAAAAAAAAATCAAACTCGTCTGCTAATCAAACATTCGGGTATGGTAAATGCCATGCCAAGCCTCCTAAGGAAAAAAGGGGGCTCCCCACAAGCCAAGACTAATCAAGAACCTCACACTTCAACCAATAAACAGTGGCTGATCAAAATTTCAGACACCAGGTCCATCAGACATGAGGTCCTGATTCTGAAGGAGGAGCAAAAAGAACACCGACCACACTGCCAAGGGTGGTAAGAGTTGTTTCTGGATTGTCTCTTAATTACTTAAGACATCAATCTAGTTCTGATTAAAGAAACCTTTTTGAACCTTTTGTCAAGTTCTTCACACACTTTTTTGTCATTCTCCAAGAGTAATCCCCCTCCTATCTCTGTAGTCTAATCACATGGTCTCACACAGTTGTTTTTCCTCAGTACATGGTTGTGCAGCAGCTTAACTCTATGCTTTTGCTGCAATGGCATTCTCAAACTGCTGCTCTTCTGTCCTCCTGATTCTTGTAAACTCACTGATGGTTTAGCACAGTCCCCTGGAACTAAAGTGAAAATTCCTTCACCACCAGGTGGTTTGTTAATCTCAGGCTTCAGTGTTCCTTTTCTCTACTTTGTTTACCTTGCCATTGACTCTTCTTTTACAGTTCTCTGGTGACCTTTTCTTAGTTGGGGGGATCTACCATTCCCTGCTCTTTGCACCTCTATAGAGGGAAAGGGGGGGGGGGTCAAGTTTTGGACTCGTGTAGTTTTAGGTCACGTCATATTTTGGTCCAGTGTAGCCTTATTCATGACTCACAAGAGCCTGGCATGGATTGAATTAGGTGGAACTTGCCAGGCAGCAAGTAGCAACCACAGGAGCTCTCCCAGAAAATTATATGGACTAATTTTGTCAATAAAAGCAAAAAAGTATAAAGAATAACCTATAAGTATCCTACCTGTAAAGAACCTCCCTCACGTTGACTTGTGCTTGCCCGAGCAGCGTCCCTGGAACGGCGGCCCTTTCTCTTTACCGTCTCAAACGAACCACGTGACAAGTTCCCACATGAACCACCTGGAAGAATTGTGCTTAGTTCTTACCCATGTCAATTCCAAAATTGTAACTACCTGCAATATACTATTATTATTTAAGAATTTTGTTCAACTAATTGTATTAGTGGAGTCCAAGCAGGAATTCACTAATACAGTGGATTCCTGCTTGAGAAAAGTTATTGGTCCCAGACCCTCGGTGAACTTCATTATTGATTACATGCAACCTTTACAATGTCTGGCCACTGTTTGAATACTACGAATGATATAATAAATTTAGGGCAGAGCGATACGTGTTACCTTGTTTGGATGCCTGTGTTCCCCCTAGCAATTAACACTTTCGCGCTATCTGGACGCGCCGGCGCGTCCCGTTTCGTCTAACGCTAACGCATAGTGGACATAAAGTTGAGTCCTCTTTTAAAATATTTGTATAAAATTCAATTTTTATCCGATTTACTTTGGGTTTGTTTCAAACTGCGCGCTATGAGGCTCTCTTTCTCACCACTAGGCTGCATGGTACAATAAGTTCATGAAAGGTGTGGATAACTTCGATCAAATGGTATTTTGTCCCAAACGGGTTGCAGGTGGGTGACTTTAGCCGTTTATACTGGTAATGCTTCCCCCATATCATGTATTATATGCATATGTCTGTTTAGGGAATTTTATTCCGATCAATATACAACCAAAAATAACTGTGTGCAACAAGTATAAACTTGACAAACATAACAAAAGTAAAAACATTTCGTGTGTGTTTGACGCTCACTGATATGTTCCAGCGTTGTTTTATATTTGGCGCTATTCTAACTTACGCTTTGTTGATATTTTTTACCTATGGGCACATAGAACATTCTATTGCGAACACATTGACACAAAAATGAATGACGTACATAGAAAATTAATGTCATGAGAGTGAAATAAGTATAAACTTTCAAAGCGCCGTGCGTCGTCCCGTCACCGATACCGGGTAACAATTTCACCACTTCCCACACTCTTGCGGGCGGGCCGCATCATTATTCTACGCTTATATTCATATCACCGTGTTGGGAATTTCATTGCGAGTCCATTGACACCAAAATTAACGCTGTAGAATAAGTGTGGAGGTGATTACAATCCCAAGAGTAAAAACATTTTGTTGCTGATGGGCGCTCACGGCGAGTCATCTTCGTAGTTATTTATTTGGTGCTGGTATCCCTATACGTTTCGTGACTTTTTTTACTGATGTTCTTCTAGAGAATTTTATTGCGAACACGTTGGTACCAAAATGAAATACGTAGCATGAGAACTAAGGTCAGAAGAGTAAAAAGAGTATTCACATTTTTGTTTTTACGCTTAAGCGATAAAAACGCCGCGCGCACATAAGGTTGGCTGAGTGACCTTCGCCGAGAGCGCGAAAGTGTTAATAGATACCAGGGAGTTAGGCGACTGTTGTAAGTTGCAACTTTGGTGAAGGTCAATCGTTGGCTCCAAGATTGTACCTGGATGAGGTTCTGAAGTTCTTCTACTCCCCAAGCCTAGCCCAGGGCCAGGCTTGACTATGTCTATAATCCTAACAGGCTTCCTGTCCCCAATATTAGGAAACCAATCCAATCCTGTGCAAATTTTTATGTATTACAAAGCAAGATATTGATTTTGAACATGTCAGCATTGCAAATTATAAAATTTTTATCTACTGAGCAGATATGTAATCCCCTGCATCAGTCATCACACTATCACAATCTTAAGATTGCATCCTGTTTTCTGCTGTACAGTGGTACCTCCACTTACGAACCTAATCTGTTCCCAGAGACGGGTCGTAACACAAAAATTCGTAATTCAAAACTAATTTTCACACAAGAAATAATGTAAATTGAATTAATCCGCTCCACACTCCCAAAAATATCAACTTCAAAATGCATTTCATACATAAGACACACACACATTCTGTACTATAATATGTACAACTTATAGCTTACCTTTATTGACGACTTATTGGTGTATGAAAGACCGAGGAAAAGGGGGAAGAAGAGAGGTGTTAGTCCCTCTAACGTTGTTAGTGTTAGGAGGAGAGTCCCCTTACATTATAACATCAGGCAGTAATGACTTCTCTGGGGAACTCTATGTTTTGCCTGCATACCACTAGGACCTGGTTGTGGCTCACTGCTTGCTTGCCTTATTAAGAATCTCTCTAACGACACACTTGTCTGTAGTGAGACATCCCATTCATTCAAAATAAATGATTTCTCGTTTTTCCTCTATGGTCATCCTCACAAGTGTTTTTTTTAAATTGAACCTTACCACTGACTTTCTTGGGACCCATGGCATGATATATAATAACTACTTTTATGTTCAAAAACAAAACAAAAAAGCACAAAATCAATTAAATTCTTTACAAAGAATTCATGCGCGATCGTCACTAGGAGCGAACGGTCTGGTAAACTGAAGCAGGATCGCCCATCCCACCAGGAACCACGGGCTCCGTCGACCTAAACATATATCAACAATGTCGTAAGTCGAGTCGAATTTTCTGAGGAAATTGGGGTCGTAACTCGAAAAATTTGTAAGTAAATTCGTTCATAAGCCAAGGTTCCACTGCATTTGGAATTTACTTTAAATTTAATATATTGGATTTGGTACCGGGGTAGGTGCTGGGAATAGGATCCACTGTAACACCCTAAAAGAAAATGAAAACTAATGAACCTAATCAGTAAGGTGATAATTTGGCTGCCAATTTAAAACAGTCATGTGGATAGCTTGTAACTTGCTAATGAAATTATTGCCAAGCTAAAAAGAGTGTTTAGATCATCAGCCAAGAAAATATTGCTACCAAAATGGAATAGGAGTCTAGCACCAGATGGTTTTATATGTATGCCATGACAAAGACCTGGATATTTACCTGTTAAGTAAATTAATACTGTACATTTTTGTAACTGACAAACTTAAATACGGAACTGTATTGGAATACTAAAACATAATTGGTAGTTATTTCTGGTATGTGCCAAGTAACCTTCCAGCATGAGGACATGCTGAATGTCTAATTTACACTTAGTTGAAATAACAAAAAAAAAAAAAAAAATTAGCGACCTTACTTTAGATATTAATTTTTGTTCTTGCATAGCATATCACACTCATGTAAAACAACCTCATATACAAAGGTATTCTAAATAAAACTGAAGTTTTTTAACAGTGACACTAACAGTAAAGTTTTTAACAGTTTTTTAACAATTACACAATAAATTACATACATACATACAACCACACTGTACAGTTATACTGTAGTGTGGTATATGAAAGTGTCAAAAGTTCTTAGCTTGAAGAAAATATATATATTTACTACATTATACAGGTTCTACTCACCCTCCCTACAACGTGATGCCACACCCTGATTGGGCCCAGCAACTTTTTTAGGCTGTTTAGTCTCTGAAAGGTCATGTAAGGAGCCAAGGGATCCACCAGTACTTGTACGAGCAGCTGCTGACTGATCTCCGTTGGACTGATCTCGACGTCCTACGAGTGACTTTTTACTTCGATGTCTATATGCTAAATCCCTGGTGTCATCTCCAGAACTGGACTCTTCTCTCAAAGCATCTTGTTCTTTGAGAATTAAAGCCTGAATCAAGAATTCAAGAAATTAAACTGGATTTTTCAACAATGACTTCCATGAAAGATATACAGTACAATAATTAAAAATTCTAAATTAAATAAATGAAGTACCTGTACATTAAAAATGCAACAATGGAATAAATGGAGGAATGTTTATAACCAGACCAATGCATATTGAATTTGTAGGTACTTGTGCAGTAGTTTTGAACTGTCAAAGAGGGGGGGGAACTATCAGGAGAACGCACCAAGCTGTTATGCCTATGTAGCACTCAGAAGGGGTTAGGATAAGGATTTGGGATAGGACGGGGGAAAGGAATGGTGCCCAACCACTTGGACAGTCGGGGATTGAATGCTGACCTGCATGAAGCTCGACCATCACTCTACCGTCCACCCCAAGTGGTTGGGCCAAAAAAATCCAAGCTCAAGTTTTTGAGGTTAAGTTGGGTGTAAAGGTAAGAAAAGATAGTGTGGAAATCTTTGGAATCTATGTACAGTATTTCATCGATAGAGTTGATAAGATGTAGCATACACTCGGGAATCTGCACAGAAAGTTTAAAAACTTATCATTGAAAAAGAGTTATCACCAACAACATACTGTAGACAAAATATCACCACAAGGCGCTTACAGTAAGATTATTTAATAAGTGCCAAGTTATAAATAATAGTATACTACTATTATGTTAATGCAAAGAACAATTCCAAATAGAGCAAAGCAGTGGAGAAATATATCCTAAGAGACCCATCACTCCCTTCCACCAACACAATCTATACACTAATGTTTTAGTTTGTCATAACTTCTGGAGGCGGCTCGGTACATTAGTGTTACGTCTTACAAATAATGCACACACTAAACATGAAAAACTGGCTAATGAGGGGAATTAAAGCTAATACTCAAGTAAATGCACTAATGCTAAATACAAAGAAATTAGGAATGGCTTTATACCACAAAAGATTGCAAATCAATGAGATAAAGTCTTAAATTATAAGGAAGGAATATAGGTAAAGACAATAGTCAAGGGTCTGAAAAATGAGAGAAATGCTTGGAATACAAATACAGTGGTACCTCGCATAACGATCGCCCCAAAAGACGAACATTTTGGGTAACGAACGGCCCGATCGGCGTCAAATCGTCCCGTATGACGAACGCTGGTTTGAGTAACGTCAACACCACATGGTGGGGTCGCGCTGCTTCTTGCACATTCTTAGACGCCTCCGACGATGCACATAAATTATGTTGTTCTTGTTTAAAGATGCTAATGATGCTGGGATATAAAAGGGTGACTGCTGAGATGTTGCAAAGCATTGACGTTTTTGTAGGAAAAAAGAAATGAAATGTCTGATATACAACAAATGTCAAAAAGGTTCATTCGGTGTTCGGCAGGTAGGCTGCTCCATTATAACAATCTTTCTTTGTTTCAAATGTGTTCCATTTGTTTTGTATTTGTCATTTACGTCTCAATAATGGAGAAGCCTACCTTACATACACTGAATAAACCATTATGACATTTTCCTTTCTTCAAATGTGTTCAATATTTATTTTTCATTTGTCTTATAGCAAAAGGTTCGTTCGGTGGTCGGCAGGTAGGCTGCTCCATGTTTCTTACATACAAAAAACGTAAATAATAAAAAAATGAAGAATTTTGAAAACCAGTACAAATGTCAAAAAGGTTCGTTCGGTGGTCTACAGGTCGGCTGCTCCATGTTTCTTAAATAAAAAAAAACGAAAAATAAAAGAACTGTTGAAACAATTTGAAAAATGGACAAATGCCATAAAGGTTCGTTCAGTGTTTGTCGGGTAGGCTGCTCCATTATTGAGACGTAAGTGACAAATACAAAACAAATGGAACACATTTGAAACAAAGAAAGATTGTCATAATGGAGCAGCCTACCCAACAAACACTAAACGAACCTTTTGCTATAACGAATACGAAAGACTAGGGCTGCTGGCTGGGTTAGTACTGCGTGAACAACCATTTCTGGCACACGTGCCTCTGGCTCTCAAACACCTGTCCCACACGGTGTTGAAAGACTGCGCTCAATCGGTGCAATTCAGACCCTATTGTTTGAAGAACATAAGGGTCATAACATTGCTGAAGCTAGGCGCAATAAGGGCTTAACACAACGGTCGGATGCCAGTGATACAGCACCTATGAGGATGATACAGCGAGCGTATCCAGGTATAGCTCTGAGCCCCACCCTTGCCATCTCAAATTTATATAGATGATACATAGATGAATCGTATTCTGCGTTCAGTGATGATGCATCTGATACAAGTAGCATAGATGAAGTGTTAGCGGCTTCCATGGTGGTGTTGTTCATTGATATTTTCAAGAATACCTGAATCTCTTCCTGACTGATGGACACTCTTTGAGGCTAGCTGAATCTCTTCCTGTGTGGGACCTTACAAAGCGATCTTTTCAAGACTACCTTACAAATTGAGCTTTTCCTATAATCGTTTCAATACTACCTTATGCTTTACAAGCTTGGCTACATACCACCTACAAGTACTAAAGCCAAGGGTGCACACGAGTGTGTTATTTGCAAGCACGCAGAACGATGAAACAGGATCGAAAATCTATCTGTAGCTGGTGCAAGGAGAGCAAAGTCGCGCTGTGTACCATGGACTACTTCGTTGACTATTACTCACCTCCAAAGTACTGAGTGTGTAATACAGTGTGTTACTGTGTATATAGTATGTGAAACTATACATATTGTAATTTTAGTGAATTTTTACCACGTAATATTGTGACAATAAACATTTATTGTGGACACATTACTGACACATGTATCACAGTTCCATGGAAAATTATAAACATTCTACTGTATACATATTGTAAAGGTCACAAATATGCATCATATACGATAAAAGAAACAAATAAAATCGCATTGGAAATGCATAGAAAAAATATTTGAAAATATATTTGTGGCAACACGCGGTGCTTGAATGGCCTGCGCGACCGTGTCTGGGAGCTTCACACACGGGCCACCAGCCCCTGATGACGTCACAGCGCACCTTGTCCACGCCCTCACAGTCAAAGTAAGTGGAATTTGGTAATTATTTTTACATAGACATGTTCAGGGATGGTAATTTATCATTTTGCAAAGAAAAATGATATTTTGGGGAACATTTGATGTCATGCACTCTGGGGGAATTTCACAATAAACACAGTGCATCACACTGGTTACATGGGGGGACACTCGTTTTGTATGACGTCCGTTTCACATGACGAACATGGAATGGATTAAATTCGTTATGCGAGGTACCACTGTATATAGAAAAATAATCAAGTATGAGGAGAGCAAGAAGTAAAGATGCGATGGGTATAAAACCAATTTACACTAACCAAGGCATAGGGTGAGAGGGTGTTCTTGTTTTTTCTCTTGCTAGCATTTGTGACTTCTTCCAGGAGACTCCTTAGGTCCTCTTCGTTGTAATTTGCTACTTCATCATATGCCTGTTGCAAAGAAAATATATTTTTACTACAATAAAGCAATGCTACTGAAGTATGCCACACTTTTTGTTTTAGCACATTCTTACAAAAGATTACATTAAGGAAAGGTTATTATGAAAGCCCTAAGTCAGTATGACTATGCTGTATGATACATGGAAGGGATACGAGAACAGGAAAGGGGTGAAGGAACAGTGCCCATCTACTTGGACCATCAGGGATCAAACACAGACCTACGAGGAGCGAGGCCATCACTGTACCGATAAGTACAAGTGACAAACCCAATTTTGATTAATTACCATTCTTTTTTGTCATTTTCATCTCTCGGTGCAAACCTAGTAATCCTTTCATGGAAGCCAAATCACATTAACTTTGTATGTACAGTACAGAGTATCTCTCTCCTGTGTACTGTTTAACACTAACGATATTTAGGACATTGTAAAAAATCACAAGAGCAGGCTACACCTGAAATGCCAAGTGCCACTGGCAGTGAAGGACAGCCAGACCTTAGGTCTCTATGGTGAGGACCTCGGTTGTGTGTTTTAAACCATTAAACAGCAAAAGTACCCTGGTCATATGGCCCCAGTTCAAAATGTACATAAAAAAAAATCCTAAAGAGGGCAAGCAATGAATCAATTTCGGACTTTAACAATCTGTACCATTTCTTTTACAAATATTCAGTAGCCCCATCCTCCAGGAATTTTACAGTAATATCCTCACATTTACTACAGGATGCAAAGTGGTTCATTAGCCCCTGCAGCACTTTTAAAGACCAATTAACACTACTGGGAACAGACAGTGTCTCAACCTGTGACTGCCACCATAGTATGCACATCTGGAAGAACTGGCCTTCAGAGGATATCTCACTGCAGAGTTCAGTCCCTGACAATGGTAGTAACAATGGTAGCAATTAGTCACCCACAATTTGACATGCACTTCAAAAATCTGCTTAACCCCTGCACTGGGCAAGGGTTACATCAGGCATTATCTGTTCTGTATGAGCACAGAAAAATGCTTTTAAAAAATAGGTTTTTTTTTTTTGTCTTCGTTTTTGTCGTTAAAAAAATGCATGCCCTATGCATAGAAAAAATGTCTCAAAAATTGTCACTTTTCAAAATAGCAGATGCTTACTGGAGGCCTCAAATGCTGCTTGGGAACACCTTGTACCAGCAGAAATTACAAGTGATACAGTGCCCAAAACATCTCGGGATGTTATGCACGCTATGGGCTGAGCATCTGAGGATCGTATGTGCATCTCAAGAGCTAAACCTATATAAAATTGCTATTCATTCTTGACAATAACTGAAAATTTCAGGAACAAGCATCAGACCTGCTGGTTTACCATTTACCTTAGGTCTCTTAAATTGAAGCACAAGGGCGTGGCCTCTTGACAGTTCCTTTATCCTCTGGTTCTTGATGAGAATAAAAGAAAATCTCAAGAGGGACAAGAGGTCACTATCCATACAATTTTTGAGTAACATCTTTTGCTAAGATTCCCCAAATTAAGTACTGGTACCAAAACAAGAGACCATAGAAGTAAAGACCATAGAAGCCCAAGCCCTCTGCTCTGCCTACAAGGTTGCCAACTAAGCACCAGTGCATGATATTTTTCCTCACCTTTTTAACTTACACAGAACTCTGCATCACAAATTACACCAGTAACTTGGGCCAAAGCAGTCAACAACAATTACACAAAATCTAGGCTTTATGTCAAATGCTCCTCAATGAATTGCAGCTCTCCAATTTAATCACAGAACTCTCCAACTCGCCACCCAAGCTATCAGTTTTGTTGACCAGAAGATCTAGTCTCTTGGTAAAAATCACTCGCACTACTTCCACCAATTACCACAGCTGCCAAATTGTCTAGACATGAAAGTCCATAACACACTGATCTGTCATAAAATTGTAGTTTTCCTCATCTTCCACCACACAACATACTACTATCTTCCACCACACAACATACTAGTATCTTCCACCACACAACATACTAGTATCTTCCACCACACAACATACTAGTATCTTCCACCACACAACATACTAGTATCTTCCACCACACAACATACTAGTATCTTCCACCACACAACATACTAGTATCTTCCACCACACAACATACTAGTATCTTCCACCACACAACATACTAGTATCTTCCACCACACAACATACTAGTATCTTCCACCACACAACATACTAGTATCTTCCACCAAACAACATACTAGTCATTAAGCAATTCACACCTCAGTGCCTTAGACTTTATAATGTTTCTCTTGCATCTTGGGTGATGCAAGATCACCTTTGCATGATACCTAATCAACCAGATGATGATGCATACATCAGGCTGCAAGCAGCCGCATCCAACAGCCTGGTTGATCAGTCCAGCAACCAGGAGTCCTGGTCAGAGATTTGGATGTAGGGATGTTGAACCCCAAAATCAACTCGAGGCAAGGTTGGGCAGCTGCTACCGCCCTTTGAAGGCATTTCCAACCATTACCTATCTTAACAAGTACTGTATAGTATTAGTAACAAACTATACAGCACGTGGCCTATATATATCCAACTACTGTACTGTTAATGTATGTACATGTAAAACAAAACTTATCTTATGTGCCATCTGAAGGGATGCTACAATCTTATCATTTATATCAATTCAATAGAAAACTATGACTGCTATCACTGGCAAGAATTCGTCCAGTTCAAATCAGTAATTGCGACACTTTGTAGTCCAAAGCCTCCCAGTCTGATAAGTCCCCGACAGCAGTTCGTTAACCAATAATTACCAACAATTGCATGAATGCATAAAATCATCAAAGCAGTAAATTAACATGCAACAAATTTTGTCTTTACTGAAAAATTTTACATTATCTTTCAACTTGAGAAAACAATCTCCTCACCTATAATTTACATGCTTCATAAATTAACACTTCACTAAGTACAGTACTGTACTGATACAGGCATGTTATTTAATATTTGGTATTCATTCCAACCCCTGTCACTCAATTCAATAAATCACAAAAGTGGGTTCCAGAATTATGGACCAGACAGGACCAAATTGTTAGGAGTCTGATCAACCTGTATTTTTTAAGATTTCTTATAGATTTTGTAATTATTGTTCCCAGGAACGTTCCCATGATGGATGTCACACTCGCTGATCAGAGATTTAAGGGTTCTAACCTCCACCAGTACTGGACCTATAACTAGAAGTGAGGCTATGTTTACGACCCCAATATACAGAACACGAAATATGAAAATCCAAACAGCTTCTTTATGAGCAATATCCAAAACTAATAATTTAACTCATTAACATGAACACAGCAGACTTTGAAAACGAAACCAACATATCCATGCAACCAACCTTAGGTCCCGACTCCTGCAACTCCTGCAATTCCATATTTATGAAGAAATTTAAAAATACCAATAGCACGAGTGCTAAGTGTAATATGGAGAAAAAGCTTGTATATAGGGGAGATACAAGAAACCCTTAAAGTATATATAGCACCATTGCATAAGAAGGGCAGCGAAGCATTGGCTCAAACTATAGACCAGTCACACTAACATCACACATAATTAAAAGTTTTCGAGCGAGGAATCAGGAATCAACTTTATGGAGAACAATGAACTTGACAGTCAAGGTCAACATGGATTTTGCCTTTTGCAATTACTCAACCACTATGACAAGATCACAAAAGCATTAAAAGAAAAAAATAAAGTGCAGATGAATATAGGTAGAGACTTTACAAAGGCATTTGATGAAGTGACCATTGAGTGATAGCCAATAAAATGAGATCAGTGGATATAATAGGTAAAGTAGGGTGATGAATATTCAATTTCCTGTCAAACAGAATGCAAAAGTCAATGAAACAAAATCAAGTACTATACTGTACTTACAAGCAAACTGAAAAACTTTGTACTTCTGAGCACAGTCCTTACACCACCACTGCTCATTTTTTTTATCAGATAAACGCAAAAATACAAGTCACCGCTTCGTGTCATTCTTTGCGGACGATACAAAAAATGGCATGAAAATTAATTCCATTGAAGACAATGAAAAACTACAAGATGCTGTCAACAGCTTTCGATTGGGCAAAGGAAAAAAATTAGGTTTAATAGTGATAAATTCAATCCATCCTCCTGAAATGTTAGTACAGTACTGTACTTACAACAGCTATTTGGTTGAGAGTACAGTACCAATATGTAGTGATGGACCACCATAGTTCACTTTGTACTTTTAATTTTAGTGAGTTCAGAAAAAATAAAAGCTAAGAACCAAATTTAAAAGCCTAGTACAGTATAGGCCTTTAGGCATTCCTAGGCCTAGTATAGCACATAATATACTGTAGTACACATGAGTTATGTACCTGGATTGCACCTCGATGGGGTTCTAGGAGTTATTCTACTCCCCAAGCCCGGTTCGGGGCCAGGCTTGACTTGAGAGAGCTTGATCCAACAAGCTCTTGCTTGGAGCAGCCCACAGGTCCACATATCTACAACAGCACTTCAGGTCCTGGCACGTAGGTCCAGCACTTCTTGAAGAAAACTATCTAGTTTTCTCTTGAAGGTGTCCACATTTGTTCCAGGAATATTTCTCATACTGTACTCGCTGGGAGTACGTTTAATAACCATGAATCTCTGATGTTTATGCAGTGTTCCCTGATAGTGTCTATGGCATCCCTGCTTTTCACTCATTCTATTCTGCAATTTCTTCCATATCGTTCACTCCAGTATGTTGTTATTTTACTGTGTAGATTTGGAACCTGGCCCTCCAGTATTTTCCCATGTGTATATTATTTGATATATTTGGAGCTTTAGGACTACAGTACAGTGGAACCTCGATTAACGAATTTAATCGGTTTCGGCACCGAGCTAGTCATGTGAAAGGCTCGTCTTTCAGAACGAATTTCCCCATTTAAAATATTGGAAATAAAAATAATCCGTACCATCACCGAAAACATCAATATGACATTCTATTTTTTTAAATAATGGAGCAGCTTACCCGACATACACTGAACGAA